AGGGGTTGGTCCAAAATTCGTTGTCTAGGAAATTACCAAATTGAGTCGTAAAAAATCCATTCTATATCCATTATACAACCCTGACTATCATACATGTTTTCTTTTAACATGCATAAAAATTAACACAATGAAATAATCACGGACGTTTATGCAAGGGTGGAATGCTTTATTCCCGAAACACTATAAATACAATCTCAAAACTATAAAACTTTGTTGATAGTGCGCAGTTGAAAATAATGCCGCACACCATTAAACCTTTTCCAAAAATCCGGTTTGAAAACCGCGAAATCAGGGGGAAAAACAGGGACCGTTCACATGACGAAAATAAATTGAAAATAAAATATATTTCCTTTATTTTTATTATGACAATTAATTTTTATTTTCTCAAAGTGTTCCGCGCATTGCCTATTACATATTTGTTATATAACTTTTTTACATTTTATATCTTCGTTAATTAATAATTTAATAAAAACTCATTCTGTGAGATGGCCGTCCGCAATTCAGGAGTTTTGAACGTCGACTTTGCGCTCAAACTCAGGATCTACAGATCTTTCAAATGTTTTATATGTCTCAAATGAAGCCGCAAGAAGCTTTCGACAATTCTGCATACTCAGTTCAACTACCTTACATAGCCAGACACTCCCTTTAAATAATTGCAGATGATTTTTTGTCTATTTAAATGGTATTCAATTTAACATCAATTGGGACTTTTTGTTTAAAAAAATGATAATTTCAAAACAACTTCTCAGATATAACGCAGAACGTTTTGTCTCTTTAATATTGAATATTTGATTATTGGCTGATCAAGGTCTCTGGGTCTAGCCTGTACTGATCAAGGTCAGGGACTGGCCTGGACGGATCAAGGTATGGGACTAGCCTAGACGGATCAAGGGTTGGGTCTAGCCTGGATGGATCAAGGTCTGGGACTAGCCTGGACGAATCAAGATCTGGGACTAGCCTGGACGGATCAAGGTCTGGGATTAGCCTGTATCTGATCAAGCTCTGGGATTAGCTTGGACGGATCAAAGTCTGGGACTAGCCCGTACTGATCAAGCTCTGGGATTAGCCTGGACGAATCAAAGTCTGGGACTAGCCTGTACTGATAAAGGTCTGGGACTGGCCTGGACGGATCAAGGCCTGGGACTAGCCTGGACTGATCAAGGTCTGGGAATAGCCTGGGCGAATCAAGGTCTGGGACTAGCCTGGACGGATCAAGGTCAGAGACTAGCTTGGACGGATCAAGGTCTGGGACTAGCCTGGACGGATCAAGGTCGGATCTAGCCTGGATGGATCTAGGTCTGGAACTACCCTGGATGGATCAAGGTCTGGGACTAGCCTGGACAGATCACGGTCTGGGACTAGCCTGGAAGGATCAAGGTCTGGGACTAGCCTGGACGGATCAAGGTCTGGGATTAGCCTGGACGAATCAAGGTCTGGGATTAGCCTGGTCGAATCAAGGTCTGGGACTAGTCTGGAAGGATCCGAAGCGTTTAGTGATATCAAGATTAACAATTCAATAGTTATGACTTCAGGATAAACAATTTTTTGTTTGCATAAAAAAGAAAATCAGCAATTTAGTGATATCATTTTATAATGTAAAAGAGTAGCAAAAATGTCAAAGGTTAATAACATTGAACGAGGGGCCCGACACTTATTATCTCCACAAATCTCTAGATCTGCAGTATCCAAGTTAGGAGAGGGCTGTAGATCTTTAAATCTCAGTAGACCTTTATCTCCAGATCTCTATCCAAGAGAGAAGAGAACTGATCTATAGATATTTTTAAACTTTAATCTATAGATCTCTAGCAGAAAACTCTAGATCTTTAAATCTCAGTAGACCTTTATCTCTAGATATCTTTCCAAGAGAGAAGAGAACTGTAGATCTCTAGATCTCCGTAAACCTTAATCTCAAGATCTGTATCCACGTTAGGAGAGGGCTCTTGATCTCTAGATCTCCGTAAACCTTAATCTCAAGATCTGTATCCAAGTTAGGAGAGGGCTGAAGATCTCTAGATCTCAGCAATCCGCAGCAAACCAATTCATAAAACACTGATTATACTTAGGTCTGAGCATCATATTCTTCAATCCACACACACTATGTTTTTATGGAACGAGCGGACACAAAAAGCATGAGCAAAAAAAGCTGCAAAGGAATTGAGTCTTTGCCACAAACTCTGGTTGCATAATCCCTTTATCTTTGCAACCCGATGTCGTTGACTTCAGATATGTCAATCTATGAATTCTGTTAGATCATTTAATCTAAGTTTGAAATATTTAAGGTTTACGAAGATATAGGGATTAGAAAATTAGAGTTTGTGGCCAAGACTCAATTTCTTTTGAAGTGAAACTCAGTTTACATTAAAGAGATTACGAATGGAATGAGTTGCCAATGCAACGAAAATTGCGATTTAATTATAAAATCATAATCCATCCCTTAAACCTTTAAAACATCAGAGTCGTCGAATAAAATATTTATTAAACACTTCAATCCTCTCCTACGGCCCCTCCTAGGTATGGAAACCCTAATTTGGTAAACAGTATTCATCAGATGTGCAAGTAGTTGAGAACTATAAAATATCTCCTCCACTAGTTCAACTTAGTTACAGAATATGGTAGCACAGGTGTGGGATGGAAAGCAATTTATCTTTTCATCTAATCTTTCATTCATTCATTAAATATTTATCCTTCTCCTTTTTATCCTTATTCACCTAATTATTCGTTTATCCCTTCTATTATTTATCATTTCAATCTTTCATTTATGCTATTTAACTATTCATTTATTTATCTAAAAAATAAAATATTTTTTTGCCTATGTTACCCCCAGGGTACCCATAGGTTCCCTCAAAAAATGTCAGCCATTTTGTTCAGGCCGTTAGGCCAGCTATAGCTTATATAAATACAAATATATATATGAGAGAAGAGCTTTATCAAATAGAAGATTATCTTATTTTTATTTTTTTCATCTATTATCTAAATTCATTCATAATTAGTAACTTGTGGAAGACGATGCCTGGACGCGTTAAACTAGTTCCACAAGATTCCACAGAATGAGATAGAACGAATACGGGGCATTAGTACTGATATCATCTCTACAGTCTACACGTGCGATATCGATATTGACTCTAGTTCTGAACCCTCTAGTAATAAGTTATAAGAAATATATATACTGGAAGTTATTTATGCGTTTTATTAGAGTCTGACTCACGTCCTCTATAAACTTATATTTTGTAATTTATCTTGCCTTTAGTTTATCTAATTAAACCCTTTTACTTTCTCTTTTTTAAAATTGTTGGTATTAGTGAACAAAAAATTTCAAACATATTAAATTGACTGCGCAAATTAAATTTTTTTGCAGTTATTGAGGCTTAAACCTAAATTATAACTTTAAATAAATAAGTTGACTGAGAAAATCTGAATAATACAGATATTTATAGGCTTGAATAAAAACAAAATGTTACAAAGGAATAGAGTTTTTGCCACAAATTCTGACTTTTTAATCCCTTTACATTTGCAAACCAATGTCGTAGATCTCTGATATTTTAAACTGTTATAAATCAAACAGTGTAAGTTTGTAATATCAAAGTTAACACTATAAAGTTGCAAAGATATGGGGATTAGCAAATTTAAGTTTGTGGCAAAACTCCTTTGCTCCAAATCATGTTTAATACGAGAGGTTTAAAGGGAGTGACTTGCTAGACATGGTAGTTGAGTTGAAAGTGCAGTATCGTAGAAAACAACTTTAAGATTCATTTGATACTAATGAGACATTTTTTCGGTGTACACTTTTTAGATTAGAGTTTGTAATATTTCACCAGTTGTTTCAGTCAGCAGAAGAAACCATTTCTTACAATTCTTAAATAACATGGATAATATTGATAATAAAACCACCAGCCAAGAGACAGGAAAAATATAGCGCATTGCTATAATATACAGCCAAAGAGAATAGAATATATATTAGAGTGGAATTTACTAGAAAAAAGTGTAAAACGGCCATTTTTTTGTACTGTTTCCATGCTGCAGGTGTACTCGATCACATATTTTTGCTATATAACTTTTTGGGCCCTGGAACATGATTTTATAGAAAATCTAAAATTAATATTAAAAGAAAACCAAATTATGAAATAAGCTGGTTTCATAATTAACCAATGATCATTTCACATAGACTCTATGCCTTTTACTTTACAAACGATGATTTTCCATTATAACTATAAATCAAATGATGTTTTTTATTCACCTAATTAATTTTATAAAGTTTATTTAACAGCTTTAAAAAATTCGAAATTGAAATGGACGGTCTAGGGAACATACTGTATATTTACATGATTTGTACACTTTGAACTCCCTTTCAGGCCGAAAGGGACTGAAAACATTCATACCGAGGGATTGTCTAAATTCCACTCTAATATATATTCTATTCTCTTTGTATACAGCTAACTTAACTTTATAGCAAGTTCATTATGAAGTTCGCGATGAAGTGAGTATGAATGACAATAGTTTCATAATAACTTTTATAACACTGCGAACCAAAATAACAATGTTATAAATAGTTATTATATTTTAAATAATTGAAGTAAATTTTGAAAAGTCTCAGCCGATTGTGTGGGTCTTAAATGCATAAATAATGTGGGGGAGAACTTGCTTATCTAATTTTTTGAAAACACTGAATACTTTTAAATTTTGCAAATCTGGCGAAGGTTATTGCAATTTAAAATAAACTATTCTTGTTAATAAATAGCATTGCTTATTGCAATTGAAATGGAATTAAAATGAGAAACATTATCTAAACAATCTTAAACGATCAATGATGTGATTTCTAAGGACCGTTTTCTAATCTACTGTCCACTAGAAACGCTACTATATCATCGGTCAGCGTACTGCAGAACGCACCGAAAGCTTCAAACCTTTTGCCAAGAAACCTGGTATAGATTCAGATTTAATTTATTTTAAAAGAATGTTAGAAAAGAGTTATGATAATTTATTTAATCTAAAATCTTGCTCTAAATATACATATTGGATATTTCAATATATTAAAAACATTTCTAATATCCATGAAAACTCAAACTCGATTATACAAACAGATTCTGTATAATATTAATCTGGACGAATAAGCTTATAAACAGCTTCTCATCAATTTTTAAGTATCATAACGCCTTGTGTTTAGATTTTACCGCTCTAACTCATGTATGCTATTCTGTTGCCCTTCATAAGCTTTAGTTTTTAAGAAGTAATTGGCAAAATTCTCATCGATTTTGCTTGAGAGCGTGAGACTTTTTTATCACAGTGCCCTATCAATGCAGTGTAACCTGAGTTTTTGACAAAGTCTCAATACCTTTACTATAAACCTGAGATTTCATGCCAAAAAATTCCAGATAATTTTCACAGAGAAAATCGCGTGTTACAATTAAACAAATTCGGGTTTAAAAATCGGCTTCCGACTTTTGAAAAACATAAAAAGTTTTTAAAAGATTTTCGACCTTATTTTCATCAAGTTTTTTCTTTATAAAAATAATTCTTGTAATTCCAAACGTCGCATTTTAACCATTGAACCCCCCCCCCNGAACTACGCCCCTGTTGTAGAAATAATATATTTGTTCGGACTTATCAGTGAACATTTATATGACTCAGTACTACTTTACTTCTTACTCAAACATTTCAAACACAAAACAATGGTTAATGTAAGATTATTTTACTCTAAATGAGCTTTCATTTATAAATGTGTTAAAAAAAACGATTAAATGAATTTCAACCTCAATATCAACAATTTCTAACATCAACAAAGTGTAAAAGATTATAAAACTAAAAATATAAGTTTAAATACAAATTTGGAGAAAATATGTCATATATCGTTATCATTGTAGTGATTATTATTATTATTTTAACTTTAATAATTTATTATAGTACTATAATCTCAAATGAAATGTATTTGAAAATCTCCTTCAAAGAATTATGCATTATTTACATTTTAAATGATTGTAAACAATATTATTTGTTTAGACAGAGGAACTGGATTTAGTTTTAAAGGAATTCTCGGAAATAGTTCAAAGCTTCCCAGGTGAGATTAGTTAGATTGGTTAGATTCAAGGGAATATTTTAGTAATTTAAAGTTATAAAGGACTCTCCAACGTTAAACTAAAGTAAATTGCCTGATTGTACAATTGAAATAGTTCATGTTGTCAATCATACACTTCTCTTATTAAAGAGCTATGGAGAAAAACAAAACTGTTTTGAATGTCTAAAATGTAAACGAATAAATTTTTTATTCTCATACTTGTGCGTAAAAATTAAAAGTAGATGCGCTGCGGGGTCACAAAGTCGTACCAGTGTTGTAGCACAAATTTCTCCTTTGTCTAGTTTGCAGTGCTCTATTTAAAGAGTTTTCAATTTAATACTTTCAACACATTTAACTGATAAAAAATAATTTTTTTCCTAAAATTAATAATTTCCAATTGCCATTTCTCTTGAATAAAAAGAAATAATGGGATAATGATTTAAAATTGTGAATCTGATATATAGCTCTTAAATGGGGAGTATCTCGTCGATTTTATCTTTAAAGAATTTATCTGTTAAACCTTTTTTAGGATTAAACTTTGCACACAAGAACGAGAAAACAAACATTTTGGTGAGTTCTTTTATTATATAATAATACAAGCTATGGTGCCCGGAGTTGATCGTGGAACTTTAAAAACGCTTTGGAAAAAAAAATTTTGTATTTTGAAAATGAAAACTGTATGTAACATACACATACATACATACACCCTAATATATGTATATATACTGATAGGACAGTCGAGAAGCAAAAGCTCTTCTCTCATATATATATGATACATATATATATATATATATATATATATATATATATATATATATATATATGAGAGAAGAGCTTTTGCTTTTCCACTGTCCTATCAGTGTAATCTGTGAAAATTGTAAACTCAACCTGATTAACACACTCTTTTACTCTTTAAACCGTTTTTTACAAAGAATATCTTAAATTAAAATAATAGTAAATGTAAAATCAAAAAAATTAAAGTCAGAGGAAACAATTATTTCTTAAGGAAACATCTGATATTCCTCCCCGACCCCCACCTCCAATATCATTTCCTCCTCCACCTCCAATATATACTAGAGCATACCCATCTTCCCCTCCAATACATTCTGGAGCATACCCATCTTTACCTCCAATACATACTGGAGTAGACCCACCCCCTCCTCCAACCAGATCCAATACACTATTAAAGGGACTGTCAACAAGCTTAAGTCCAGGGTTGTTTTACTAAAAAAACGCTTATGTAAATTTGTTTTAAAACTTCTTTAGTACTTGATTAATTGAAAATAGTTCTAAAGTACATCGTTAGCGATCGTTAACGAAGATGGGGTAGTTAACGATCGTAAAAATTCAAAAACGACCAACCTGAGTTAACGAAACGATGAATTGAATAGAAAAATTTAAGACTTGGTTTTTTAAATTTTAAAAACGATCGTTTCGCTTTTCGTTTTTCTATGTCGTTAACGAAAAGATCAGTTTGTTTTTAGAAAAGTGGAAACGTTACATCCCTATCTATCGAAAAGGATAAAATCTCATAGAGACAAATTAAACCCTTCTTCTTCCTGAGACCGGGCCTAATTTGTCTAAGCCTTTACTTTGGTTTGACCTAACTAATAAATAAATACTTATTTGAAACAATGGACGCAGCAAATATTTCTGGCACCTGGTTGAAAAAGATTATTTAAAAAAGATAATGTTGACAATCCATATAAAGAAAATAAATGCGAACCCAACTTCTCCCGCTTCAACTCCAGGTCCTCCATGTTCTTCTTCACTTAGTTCACCACCATCTCCCCCTTCACGTGGAACAGGTCAGATATTAAACTTATTGAATTAGTTTGGTGTAAGCAGGAGAGGGTCTGGACATTTTAAACCTCCGTACTTACCATGTATCAATAATGTTCTTCTCCCCCCACTCCCCTCCCACCCTTAGATCAAATCCTGTATACACTTAATATTCAAAAATCTAATTTCTTGCCAAAAAAAGAATTTTCTGATTTTTTGTAGATACAATTGGCGATAGGAGACCAATGATGAAAAAGGTAATATTAATTTTCTATAACAAACTTTTTCACAATGCCTTTTAAAAATATATATATTAAAACCTTTTTGGTTGCATTTATAAATTTTGCTTGTCAGGTTTTTTTTGTTACCAGTAAACCTCGAAACCAGGCCTATTTTTGTGGCAAACATGGTCCAAAGAAGGTTTATGGTTGGTCAAAAAAATGTTGGCCGAAATTATGTTTATTAAAGTATGTCGGCCTGAAAATTAAAGTCCGCCGTGATATTTACGACGTAACGCATTGAAGCTTTGGTTTCAAGAGGAAATTTCTATGTATATGTCGTGTATCCAGGACAGCTTTATCCAGGGTATATGAAAGATGTATCCAGGGTGTAGAATAGGAGTATCCAGAGACTAGAATAGGTGTAACCAGGGTTCAGCATGGGTGTATCCAGGGTTCAGTATAGGTGTATCCAGGGTTTTGAAAAGGTTTATCCAGGGTTTAGTAAAGGTGTATCCACGGTTTTGTAAAGGTTTATCCAGGGTTTAGTAAAGGTGTATCCAGGATTTAGTATAGGTGTATCCAGGGATTAGTAAAGGTGTATCCAGGGTTAGTATAGGTGTATCCAGGGTTTAGTAAAGGTGTATCCAGGGTTTAGTATAGGTGTATCCAGGGATTAGTAAAGGTGTATCCAGGGTTAGTATAGGTGTATCCAGGGTTTAGTATAGGTGTATCCAGGGTATAAGTATAGCTATATCCAGGGTTCAAGTGTGGGCGGATTATCTTGATTTCTGTATTAGTCTTGAACCAGGTGTCTAGTTCAACTCATGTATACTGAAGGTGCAGCAGGACTGGATATATATTTATATTTCACTTTTATAGAAAAACCAATAAGTCCTAAAATTGATTGTTATTAACATTGGTTACAAATTGGATATCGGTAGCTATAAATCTATTAAAAATATTAAAAAAAATTATTATTGCGGTTTCTGCGTGAAATTCATTGTGTAAAGTCTTTCTTTTGTTTCTTAACCATTTCCCCTATATTCTTATTTACAGTGCTGTTCTAAATAAACTGTAATAATCTAGTTTGTTTTCTATTAGGGTATTATATTGGGGTTTTATTATATAAATTATCTCACTCTTATCATCTTTCGACACTTAATAAGCCTTGACACAGGAATCTTTGTAGAAAATGCACTTAAATTAAGTAAATTTGGGAAAATAGATTAATCAAATAAAAGATTGTAAAAGATTGTGCCCAAAAATAGGAAGTTACAAACCATGCCTGCACTCCCTTTAAGATTCTTGAAATCTGAAAAGAAATTTTAAACTTGAGGTTTAATTGTGAAAAAAAACAGAGATTTTGATATTTACAAATTATAAGGGTTTTTTTTCGTTGTCGCCTTTCTTAGCTCATAGCTAGGTTCATAGATTAATTAGAATAAAAGATAGGACACTAGATGTCGTCGGCGTAGAACAGGCTTTCTCTCTGAGAGATTGAGCATGAACTACGTCCCTAAATCTTAAAAGGACGCTATCTAGTGTCCATCTGTTTGTTTAATTAATCTATGGCTAGTTTCTTCCCTTTTGCAGACGAATATTGCGTAGAGAAACAATGACATTGCTGACTGTTTAAAATCGTCTGCATTTTTACATTTTATGAAACATTGAGATCCTCTTTGTCCTATCTGCAGGTGTCTTTGTTTCAGATTGGGTACTCGGAAGTTAAAAAACCGGAAGTAGAAGGGGAGGAGGAAGTAGATACCGGAGAAAGAGGACCAGGTCGGGAATACAAATACGTAAAATTGAGACATTTTTTATCCATTTCTATGTTTAGATCACGCAGTTGAGAAATTAGATAATCTTATCTCAGATATGGAGGAATTCAGGTTTACATAAGTTTTATTAATCCGCATAGATTGAGACGAAAAACACTTATATGGATTTTTCTTATTCTTCAATGTCTTTAAATATATTTTAGATTTGGTTTGTCTCTTTTCCACATCTAGCATTTTTTTTATGTTTTCTTTTTACTAATCTTTCAGAATTGAATTATGATTAATTTCAGAGATAAGCAGTCCTTTGAGGAAAGAAGAAGAAAAATTCCAATTTCTCGACAAATTGATATTAAGGTCTGCCATACTAAACCTGTCTACAATATTTAACAAAGAAAAATACAAAAATATTATAAAACAGAAATTTTACTCGTATATACAGGGTTACCCACAAACCATGTGAGTTCAGAGACGATTGTACAGAATTTACACTATCCATGCTTTCTTAGATTCATATCTCTCTGTAACTGTAAACAGGTTTCTTTCTTTGTCAAATCATAAAATAAGCCCTTAACAGACTATACACATGGCACATAATATAATTCAACCTATAAATCGTCATATTTTGAGAGTTTCAGGTCGTCTTTACATTCTCATACTTTGTGGGTAACCCTGTATTTAGGATAAAATGATCGAAGTAAAAGGTATTTACAGTTTATGGCATAGAGTAATTAACTATAAGGAGAGAAGATGGTTTTTGTTAAAATTCTATTGTTTCATAATAAGGACAGTATAAAGGCGTTACTGTCCAAGAATGATTACTAATTAAAAAAAAAACTGGCGCGCGTTTTGAGCGCGGTAACTTTTCTTATAGCACTACATACTTCATACATACATCAACAGGTCTTAAATTCTATTAGATAATCAGCTCCAAAGTTTTAAAAACTGATAAAGAAAGCAAAAAAAATCTCGAAATTATCATGTTAAGTTACAAATCGATTTCTTTGTTTTTAATCAGATCCGTTGGGTTTAAACATGTCAAAGCATTCCATAGATAAAGATAGATTGCGCATTAGACGACATTTTTCATCTTGAAAGATATAAATGTACAGAGATGTTTTAAAGATATTCCTATTATATAGATTAACTAGGTCGGTTGTGAACATTGGCTGTTCTTATGCCATTGAGTACTTGTGGTGTACATGAGTTCTGTAAAAAGAAATTTAAGTTAGTTTAGTCCTTCTCATGTCCTTCTTCAGTTCTTGTCAAAATTATCTATTGCTCACTGAAATTATTTGATATTCTCAAAATAAAATTCACTCCTGAGTGGTTTAATAATTATGAAATCCATTTAAACACCAAACCACCCCGCTTATCATTGAAGTACACTTTGACCCCTAGAAGTATGAGTTCGCGGACTGTACAATTCTTGGTGATTTTGCGTACATAAGCTATCTATGTTTATTTATTTATCTATGGAGCATTCTCATATCTTTAATTCTATAATATATGTTTGTAGGTTGGGATAAATAATTTTTATATGTAGTATATTGATAAATCAGGTTTATTCTTTACTGTGATAGTATCAGGGACGTTTATGAAGACAGTGGGTTTCTTACCAGATAGATATGCTTGTATTAGTGTTTGATAAATGTATGTTTCTGTGTCAAGTTTGTGTCAAGCTATATAGCTCTGGAGTCTGTATACACAATGGTCAGATGTAAACACTATGATTAAGATTTAGTGGTAAATAGATGCATTTTACTGATCAAAGCTTAGTACACATTTTGCGTAATGTTTTAACAAATTCTCTTTATTTTTGTTTCTTTTTAAAGGGACTGTGCTTAAAAGGGGAAATATGTTGTTCAATTCAAATTTGGAGTCGATCGATGCTGTTTTTATTTTTAATTAATAAAAGATTTTATTAAAATTGTTTTAATAAATACAGGAGTCAGAATTTTTACGTCATGAATATCAGGATCAATCATTGATCTCCATCTCAAACTAACATACGGATTAAATTAGTTCATCTTCGATATCTTAGTGGTGGTCATACCCTGCAAGGATAACTTTGACTCAGAGATCAAGCATTGATCTTCAAATTTAAAATTTCCCATATTGGATATCGAGATTAAGCGTTCAGATGACAATTTCCACAAAAGTTCCGATCTCTGATCTGATACTTCAGAATTTACAATCCAAAGTTTCTGAATTCAGTGCTTTAGGCACACATTACATAAAAACATGAAAAGTAACGTTTTTGCGGATTTTTTTTTTATTTGACTAGGATTGTCGACATAATTCCCAGTGACTCTTATTTGAAGACGGCATATTTGTTTTGCTGTTCTAGTATGGATTATTACGGCACAAGCCGCATTTATTTAAAGAAATTGACTCGAAAAGACAGACAAGAGAATTAAATTATAAAAATGACAAAATCCCGATTTTTTATTATAAAACCTACAATACAGTTTGAAGTGGTCATACATATTGATAAAGTATCACGTTAATTAGAATTGTATGTTTACTACCACTAATCAGTCTCTTTATTGATGCTGATGATAATTTTAGATTGATACTGAGCTAGAGAATGATCTGGAGAAGTTAACCATGAACATGGTGAACAGCATGAATGGGTTCCAGGAGGAGGAGGAGGAGGATGAGGAGAGGGAGGTCCTAGGTATATATTTGTATATATTGTTACTTAACTTAAAGGGAGTGTTCGCGAAAAATGAAAAGGGCTATAGGCCTACGTCGAAATAAATTCGATGGTGATCGCTAATACTGATCTTACTTCTATCTGCGTTTAAAAGGAGAAAATGATAAAACACGACTCATAGAGAAGAACGTAGCGTCCATACACAATCAGAATCTACACACATGGATATAAACCCCATACTCGGGTAGTTTTATTTAACAGTTTAAAATATCCGGCTGGGAGTTTTCTTTTTCGGGGTCTCTACATTTCTGTAGATTTTATTTCAAGAAACTGAAAAAAGGAAATAATAAATCAACAACTACAAGAAAAAAAATTACCTAAAAAATGATATCTACAAAATTTCTGTTTCTCCCTTTTTATTTATTGCTTCGGAGTTGGGATATACTAGATAGTAGACGGCATTTAATCTTATCTAACCCCTACAGGTGGGCAAAAGGAAAGTTAAAATATATTCTAAAACTTTTTTTAAAAAATGTTAAAATAAGACAACATTTGAATGAAAAGATTTTTTATATTTACTGAAGCTGCAGCTAGTAATATCGAGCAATTATCAGATGATAATTGTTCTTTGAGTTGATCTAACCGTACCTATTCCAACTATGTATTGTTTATTTTCCCCCCCGAAATTATTGTTTCTTAAAAGCCGAGTCCGTATTACAGGATAAACGGATCGTATTTTTTTTCAGTTATAGTTTTACAATATTCCTTTCTAAGGAATATAGAAATAATTTCAAAGTTCTTCCAAACCTTTCTTGAAATATCGTCAGCAGTCCCTTTAACCAGGAAATAACGCAAATGGAAAAAAATTATTAATGATTGAAATATTCTAGAATATCGTGTTTTGTAACTATTTGCGTTCTCAACATGCTTCATGCTTTATCATCTTATACTTTTGATATTAAAAATAGAGATTAACCATCAGTTAGTCGGAGCTAATGTTAATTTATCAAATTAAAGGGACAGACCAGCTATGTAAGGTAGTTAAACTGAGTATGCAGTGATATGGACAAATTCTTTAGGATTCATTTGAGACATTAAAAACTTTTTAAAGATCTGTAAATCCTGAGTTTGAGCGCAAAGTCGACGTTAAAAATCGTACTTTTGGGTGAATACATTTTCAGAATTGTTTTTTTTTTAAATTATGAAATAACAGCGACAAAAAATGTGAACAAAGTTCTACAGTAAACTAATTAGTTGTTTAGGAACAGGTTGAGAAAATAAAAATTGACTCTTATCATCGAAAATAAGTAATCTTATTCAATTATTAGTTTCTATAATCTCTCTTTAATCACAAAGATTTTCTTCAGATTTTTTGGAATTTTTATTAAAAAAGACGACATTTGAAGAATTTGAACAAATCTGCTAACAAATTCATAGAAAATAAGACATTCAATATAATGATGAAAAAGGAAATAATTAATTCTAACTTCGATTTCTTGACATATTTCTTTTAAGAAATGTGTTCCTAAACATCTAATTAGTTTACTTTCATGATAAATGGCTTTGTGTTAGAGGGGGGGACCTTATGGCCCAACCTGTCGTCGTTTCCTTAGTCTGTTCCACTTTAGTATTTTTTCAATTTGGTAGGTAGTACGGCAGGAAAACGTATATAAACATGATACTAATATTACATAGTTAAACTCAATCAAACCAGTACAACAACCTACTTCATCATATTTAACAAGAAAAATTATTGAGTCAAATGTTTGTACTTGAGAATAAATTCCATTTTCAATACTATAAATAAATGTATATCACAATATACCATAGAGAATAGAATATATAGAGAGGAATTAAAAGAATCTCACGGTATGAATTTTTTCAGTCCCTTTCAGCCTGAAAGGGAGTTCAAAGTGTACAAATCATGTAAATGTTCACAAATTATGTGCAGTAGAGCACATTAATACAGTATGTTCCCTAGACTATCCATTTCAATTTCGAATTTTTTAAACTGTTAAATAAACTTTATAATGAATTAGGTGAATAAAAACATCATTTGATTTATATAGTTAGAACGGAAAATCATCGTTTGTAAAGTGGAAGGCATAAAGTCTATGTGAAATGATCATTGGTCAATTATGAAACCAGCCTTTTTCATAATTTGGCTTTCTTTTAACAACAATTTTAGATTTTTCATAAAATGATATTCCAGGGCCCAACAGGTTATATAGCATAAATATGTGAAGTTCACCTGCAGTATGGAAACAGTACAACAAAATGGCCGTTTTACACTTTTTTCTAGTAAATTCCTCTCTATATATTCTAATCTCTATGCAATATACATAAAATTCTATTTTTAGGGTTTTTGATATCTACAAGATATAGAAAATATGCCTGGGCGCATGTTTGCATTTTTGTCCTGAATAGTATAGAAACGGTTGAACCAAACAAACCAAAATTTATTTAATCTAAATTGGCCCATAACAAATTCGTCAACAAGTACAAGCTTGCACAAAACAAAACCCATGAATAACTGCAGAAATATGTTTAGAAATAATGAAGTTTAATTTACTTTATAAAAACCAGGAAACGTCGTCTTTTTTAAGGAAAGTGTTCGCGAAAAAATAAAGGGGGTTGAAACCGAATAAAATTTGGATTCTATTGCTACTAATTGTACTTCTATCTACAGCAAGAATACTCAAACTTTAAAATTAAAACATTAAACAAATTATTTAAATATCTAAATATTTCCTTTTTTGGGGTCGTAACATTTGTGTAGATTTTGATTTAAGAGATTCGAGAAAATTAAGAATATGAAGAAAATAAATAAAATAATATTTCATAACAAAAATATTGATATCCACAAAACTGCATAACCCCATTTGTGAAACCCTGGTTAACTGGTTTTCATAACGATACCCTGTCTAAGTTTTGGGCTCTAAAATATTGCATGTTCTAGCCTTTAATAGATCTCTCTGGGTTGAACAGTGAATACGTCTAATGCTAAGAGTACGTGAAGAAGTGAAGTAAATATGATATGCGGCATTCTCTATTAATCTAGCTCGAGTGAAGAGAAGAGTATAACTATTAAATGATTGAAAATATCGTTTTGTTATTTAAAAGTTTGACTAATTCTAGGCACTGTATACAAAGTTACACAAGTTAAAACTACACATTCCTTTGCAATATTTCTAATTTAAAAAAAGGCAAATTTTATTCTTTATACAGGTTAATTACTGTACCGTAATATAAGAGAAATACTGGTTGGAGCTCTATTTTAAGTTATACAAAGCTTTACATCATTTTCAATTTCGTGTCCATTCTTATTAAGTTCGGCTCTACATGATACGCTTTAGGGTTACTAAATATATATCCAGCATTTATTCCTTTCTGTCATCTCTAAAGGGCTGTTATTAAGCTTTATACCCCTAGATATGACATTTGTATATATATGTGGGTTTCTCTTGACTGGTGAAAGTTTGACTAATGACAAGAAACCTAATGGTGTCTAAGACTTGAATTTCATATTTCAAAATTCTCAAATATAAAACCCAATTCTGCGGAAGACGTCATTTATCTATGTTAGCTGTGATTTAGTATTTTAAAACTGAATTTTTTTATATCTAAAGTTTGGATTAATGCCATTTTTTTTGCCAATTTTCAGATTTTTTTTATTTAATTCCAGAATTTTTTAATATAAATTTTCCAAACAGTTTAATATTCTTGCTTTAAGGGACCGTACCGTAGGCGTAATCTTCAGTAACCCATTCTTTATAGATGGGTATGCCAGATTCACATCTGTACCCCTTAAACCTTTTCCCGATCATCGACACAGATATCCCTATGTTTATCTCTATAATGGTGTTCAATTTACTGGAAAACTGCGGAAGACTGTGCGCTAGCATACATTGTGAATTGAGTACAGTTAACTTTACTTATTTCTCGAGAATCCCAAACATTCTTAGTCCAACGCAAATTTTAAAACTTTGAATGAAAATATTTCTGCGACCCACATTTGTTTGCCGATTCCATCAGCGCCTGATCCAATCAGGGTTCAGTCATGTGTCTGGTGTCTATTCTGAATCAATAGAAATTGCATGGCGGTAACATCTATCTTTCTATCTATCTCATTATCCAATTAGAATTATGAATCCTTCAATCTGTAAATGGAAATATTTACTTGTACTGAAACTAAAGTGATACCTATAAGACATGTATCTTATGTTCCTGTCACGAGAAATTGATATAAAACCTTATCAAAATTATACGAAAATTCATATGTACAAAATAGTAGGTTAAAACAGATCATATTCAGTAAATACGCATCCAATCTGAAAACGATTATATCCCACAGGAGCCTAAGAATCTCAGGTTTGCTTCTATTATAATTTTTATTTTTTTTTGCATTTTTAATAGATATAATTGATAATATTATTGCGTATAGCCCGTATAGTCCATATTACGTCACCAGAATTGCAGTGTAGTATACTGATCACGTGATACAGACGGAAATGAATTTTCGTATATATTTGACACAGTTTTATATCCATTTCTTGTGACAGGAACATCAGATAGATGTCTTATAGATATCGTTCAACGCCTGTGATTTTCAGATTTTATCCTTTATACCCCCTTTAATTTTTCCTTTACAGTCCCTTTAAAGACTTGCATCAATCGAACATGCCACTATGAAAATGAAGGTAAACTTGAAAGTATGCGTAAATTCCCTTTAATCAAAAACTTTTTAAGGTTCTTGCTTCAAGTGCAACAGGAAGATTTTAAACCAATCCGTGCTAGCAGGTAATTCTAGGCTTCTCCAGGCATGCAATATCTAAAATGGGCCTTAAGTAAACCCAAAACATTTTAGCAGATGATTACTGGGCTTAACAGTTCTAAAGGACTTGAAATCAAACATTTACTTTTTCCATAATTGTTTTTATTTCACCACTTCAAATTATGAAATGATATAGAAAGTATTAAGATAATATTGAAATAAAAAATTTAAAACACATCCAATCCATTCTTACCACGTTTCTTATATATTTTTGGCACGGAAATAATAAAAATATTGCGGACAAATAGAACCCCCCCCCCCCCTCGGCCCCCCTCGATCCTGGAAGTATATTATGGTAATTTGGTCTTTTTAAGGTCAAAACCTTGAGAGGACCGGGGGTTGGTGAAGGAAATTTGATGTTCAATTTAAAACTTTTACTTCCAAAATAGGGTGCCCAGGTGGGGGGGGGGGGGGGGGGGGGGGTTGAAAATTGCAGTATTCTAGTAATGCAACTTAGGGTGGGGTGAAATTCTTAAATCCTGAAACCACCCTTGTCCCGTATGAAAAAATTTAAAATATCTCATGAACGTAAAATAGTTGTATGACCTTAAATATATATTCAATTCAATATACTAAACAAAAATGGAATCATTAGTAATATATTATAATCATTAAATCCATTAAAACACCAATCTACCACGCTTGTCATTGAAGTACACTTTGACCCCTAGAAGTGTGAGATTACGGACTGTATACAATTCTGGTTAATTTTGCGTACATAAGCTATCTCTGTTTATGAAAAGACCGGATTGCATTTACTAAATGTCTCAAATATTACCGAAAATAAGTTCATTTAAAAATAGAGACACACAACACTGTTAATGTTCTGTGCTCGACCGGTCCTTTCCACAGCGTTTCCTCAAGACTTGATTTTTGTCCCCCCCCCCCCCTCATTAGAATAACAGTTTTCACCATGAGTATAAATATATATGGGAAATGGTATCTGCGGTCTACAATTACAAATATATATAAATTCGTTATCTTTCCACCCCGGGCCTCTTCATCTTTAATAAACGGCGGGAGGAAGATATGTGGGTAAAGAATGAAAAATTATGTAAAATCTCGTATTACAAATGAATCAATCTTGTTTTTTATCCATCTTTAAAGGGACTGTAGGCGCAATTTAGAATGAATCTCTCTGTCTGATTTACTACAGTATCCTTAAATCATAAATGAAAGAGGTATCCATGTTTGTCTCTTTAAAAATTCAATTGGGGTTTTCCTACAAAAGTGACTTGCGCATATCTCTTGCAGAAACAACAGGAGGAAGTTATCAAAATTAAACACTTAAATTGTCAAATAGAAGTTCAAAGGGTACTGATGTAAATCGGACATACTTCTCTTTTAATGGAGGGTCACATGAGATTTCAACGATTGTCACCTTAACCAATTATTTTCTTTAGGAGAAAAGAAATTTCATGAGGATTGTTTTACGTGCAAGCACTGTAACATCAGGTTCTTTAATACATATTTGTTCAAAGGGAACTATCGTGAATTTTGATGAGATCAAAATAAAAAAAATCAAGGGGCTGTGAAACGTATTTAACATAAAATATCTGTAACAGACCTTTACCTCGCTGTATTTCCGTTTATTCGTTTCAGATGTTTTTTATCAATAATATTTCGGATTGAATAAATATTAAAATAGAAGCTATAAGTGTTCGATTATTGATTTTATACAATTAAAAAAAAATTTCTGCTTCATGAAGATTCACATTTAAAACGCAAAAAGTAACAACTCTACCTCTACTCTGTCAGTTATAAACAGTACTTGTTTATTATTTCTTCTCTTTTCTGTTTACATTTTCCCCCAATCCTTAGAACAGAAGTTCAAATTTGAATAGTAAAAAGAAACACTAAAATCTTTACACTTCTGTAGTATTTAGCATAAGTGTGATATCTTGAACTTGTTCCAACTCTTAGATAAATCTTCAAACTTTTGATTTTACCATTTTATTCAGATTTAAAACCATATTTACAATGTTTTTCATTCAAAATTTTGTTTTGCACAAACATGGCAGGAACGTATTGATTACTAGTAAATATTACAAAATTAATTATTCTTTTTTAAATTATCTTCATGCTAAATACTGTTTGATAATAAGCATTTATTCTTATGATTAATTCACGTACTTTAAACCCCGAGTGCACTAATTTAACAACACTAATAAATTGAACAATTATTTTAAAACTGAGCTCTCTCTTTTTACAAATGGAAATGAATGTATTCCATTAATCTTTCCTTTTCTCCTTTCCTAGGTCTACTTCTTTAATTTAAGCTCTGTATTTTCTTTACAGTTCATACAGAATAGGGTTCACGTTCATTCCGAATCATTTTAAAGCCGAAAATGCCGATTCAGGTTTGGCCGGAATATTATTAAGTGCTGAGGACAAATTTTGATAAAACAATTTAAATTCTATTATCAGACTTGAGGCAGTGTAATAACAAAAGACTTTCCGTATTTGATTTGAATCGGAAAAAAATGAACCCTATTATGTATGGAGGATTCTACATAGACAATATAACGTTTACAAATTTCATCATACATAGAATCCTTTCTCAAAATTAAATTTTTTTTGCACTGATTTTTTTTCTGGGTTTATCCATTATTTAAGAAACTAAACATTTGTTTTAATTAGAATGTAGTTTTCTAATTACACAATATGTTTGATACCTGATGGTGTAAAGCTCTGATATGTCAAACAGTACGTAACTTCGATCTAGCTTCTCTAGGTTACCATGGCCTCCAAATTTAGGCAAAAATTGTGCAAAAAAAAAGTTAATGTGTTTGCAGTTTTGCTTGTGCAGCATGAAAATACAAAACTAATGAACTGCACGTAATTTTGAAAAATTTGCGAGATAGTTAGCGATGGAGACCCTAATTACAATTTAGCAATTGTAAAACCTTTACTGAGTTGAGGCAATCGTGCGAGCGTTATTGTTAATTTGTTTTTATTGTTTTTAGGCTCGCCGGCAAATATTTTGTAGTGGACAACTTTTTCTATTGTGAATTTCATAAAACGGTACATATCTCTTTAATCCATTTCATAAAACGGTATATATCTCTTTAATCCATTTCATAAAACGGTATATATCTATTTATCCATTTCATAAAACGGTATATATCTATTTATCTATTTCATGAAACGGTATATATCTTTTTTATTTATTTCATAAAACGGGATATATCTTTTATCATCCATTTCATTAAACGGTATATATCTATTTATCCATTTCATGAAACGGTATACATCTTTTTTATTTATTTCATAAAACGGGATATATCTTTTTTATCCATTTCAAAAACGGTATATATCTCTTTTATTCATTTCATAAAACGGTATATATCTTTTTTATTTATTTCATAAAACGGTATATATCTTTTTTCATCCATTTAATTAAACGGTATATATCTATTTATCCATTTCATGAAACGATATACCTTTGTGTTATCCATTTCATAAAACGGTATATATCTATTTATCCATTTCATGAAACGGTATATATCTTTTTAATCCATTTCATGAAACGGTATAAATCTTTTTTAATCCATTTCATAAAACGGGATATATCTTTTTTCATCCATTTCATTAAACGGTATATATCTATTTATCCTTATTTCATAAAACGGTATATATCTTTTTTCATCCATTTCATTAAACGGTATATTTCTTTTTTATCCATTTCAAAAAATCTTTTTATACCATTTTTTCAATTAATTATCACTGGCAATTTCTCTTACAGGGAGTGTAACTACGTCTAGCCAGACGATCCCTTTATGCAGATTTTCCTCGCACAAAATAAATTCACAGTTAATTAATTTTCAAAGGGGTTGATTTTGTAAAAGGTTCATTTCATGCCTTGTTTCCTAGGAAGAGGGTAATATATACGGCGAAATCATTTGAATAAGTTTTAGCTTGCACTACTATTGTCAATAGAATTTTTATTGCGTATTTGTATGGGCCCCAACTTTTTGTGGGGGCATCATATCATAAAGACACTTAGAGTCTAATTCTAAACTGTTCTAGGTTTCCCTGGATAAGTGTTCAATCTGTCAAGATTTTATAACCGAAGGAAAATATATTTATAAATACAAGTACCAACATAAAAAGGAGTTGAGTCTTCGCAAAAAAATAATTCCATAATACAGGAGGAATACAAACAATTCCTTTTAATTGAATGTATGAATTTAAAGGAAGAATACAAACAATTCCTTTTAATTGAATGTATGAATATACAGGAAGAATACAAACAATTCCTTTTAATTGAATGTATGAATAAAAAGGAGGTATACAAACCATTCCTTTTAATTGAATGTATGAATAAAAAGGAGAAATACAAACCATTCCTTTTAATTGAATGTATGAATAAAAAGGAGGCATACACACCATTCCTTTTAATTGAATATATGAATATACAGGAGAAATACAAACAATTCCTTTTAATTGAATGTATGAATATGAAGGAGGAAAACAAACCATTCCTTTTAATTGAATATATGAATATACAAGAGGAATACAAACAATTCCTTTAAAGTACATATATGAATATACAGGAGGAATACAAATAATTCCTTTAGAATAAATATATGAATATACAAGAGGAATACAAACAATTCCTTTAGAATAAATATATGAATATACAGGAGGAATACAAACAATTCCTTTAAAATACATATATGAATATACAGGAGGAATACAAACAATTCCTTTAGAATAAATATATGAATATACAGGAGGAATACAAACCATTCCTTTAAAATAAATATATGATTTTACAGGAGGAATACAAACAATTCCTTTAATATAAATATATGAATATACAGGAGGAATACAGACAATTCCTTTAGAATAAATATATGAATATACAGGAGGAATACAAACAATTACTTAAATAAATATATGATTTTACAGGAGGAATACAAACAATTCCTTTGGAATAAATATATGAATATACAGGAGGAATACAAACAATTCCTTTAGAATAAATATATGAATATACAGGAGGAATACAAACAATTACTTTAAAATAAATATATGATTTTACAGGAGGAATACAAACAATTCCTTTGGAATAAATATATGAATATACAGGAGGAATACAAACAATTACTTTAGAATAAATATATGAATATACAGGAGGAAAACAAACAATTCCTTTTAACTGAATGTATGAATATACAGGAGGAATACAAACAATTACTTTAAAATAAATATATGAATATACAGAAGGAATACAAATAATTCCTTTAAAATAAATATATGATTTTACAGAAGGAATACAAACAATTCTTTTAATATAAATATATGAATATACAGGAGGAATACAGACAATTCCTTTAGAATAAATATATGAATATACAGGAGGAATACAAACAATTCCTTTAATATAAATATATGAATATACAGGAGGAATACAAATAATTCCTTTGAAATAAATATATGAATATACAGGAGGAATACAAACAATTCCTTTAATATAAATTTATGAATATACAGGAGGAATACAGACAATTCCTTTAGAATAAATATATGAATATACAGGAGGAATACAAACAATTCCTTTAATATAAATATATGAATATACAGGAGGAATACAAATAATTCCTTTAAAGTAAATATATGAATATACAAGAGGAATACAAACAATTCCTTTAAAATAAATATATGAAGTTACAGGAGGAATACAAAAAATTCCTTTAAAGTAAATATATGAATATACAAGAGAAATACAAACAATTCCTTTAAAGTAAATATATGAATATACAGGAGGAATACAAATAATTCCTTTAAAATAAATATATGAATATACAGGTGGAATACAAACAATTCCTTTAAAATAAATATATGAATATACAAGAGGAATACAATCAATTCCTTTGAAGTAAATATATGAATATACAAAAGGAATACAAATAATTCCTTTAAACAAATATATGAATATACGTACAGGAGGAATACAAACAATTCCTTTAAAATAAATATATGAATATACGTACAGAAGGAATACAATCAATTCCTTTAAAATAAATATATGAATATACATGAGGAATACAAACAATTCCTTTAAAATAAATATATGAATATACAGGAGGAATGCAAACAATTCCTTTAAAATAAGTATATGAATATACAGAAGGAATACAAACAATTCCTTTAAAATAAATATATGAATATACAGGAGGAATACAAACAATTCCTTTAAAGTAAATATATGAATATACAGGAGGAATACAAACAATTCCTTTAAAGTAAATATATGAATATATAGGAGGAATACAAACAATTCCTTCAAAGTAAATATATGAATATACAGTAGGAATACAAACAATTCTTTTAAAATAAATATATGAATATACAGGAGGAATACAAACCAATGGAAGAAATTATCATATTTCCTGTTTTACTTGTTCTGAGTGTTCTCAGGTAAACAATAACAAGAACTAAACTTTTTAATTACAAACTAAATAACAAACATGACCGCATATTGTTAAGAAAAAGCGGAATGTATTGAACTAGGAAGGAAAGTACTATTGCCAATACAAAGCAACTGATAGTTTTATGATCGAGTGTTAAAAGGGAGAATCTACGTAATTTCATGTTTTACATGTTGACGTGCGACGAAAGCTAAAATATTTCAATTTTTGCCATTTTTCCGTGGTACTTTTGGCAATGTTTTAAACCTCCCTTCACCCTTGCAAGCTGACCATCATTTCTAAAGAATGAGTTGGCCTTGAAAACCTGGGTCACGACTAGGGTTTCCATTAAATATTTAGCTATCAGAGTAGAGAATTCCACAAGTTCTTTGAGCAATTAATTTTTGCACCTATAAAACTCATGGTTTTTACAAAATTTTCGCGAAAATATTTTCGCAATTTTCGCATTTCGGGAAAATATTTTCGCATTTAGCATCTTCGCAAAATTCTTGCGAATTTTTTTTTGCCAAATTTCGCTTCGTTTTCGCTTTCTTATTTTCGCGAAAACCTTTGCGAAATGCGACCGAAAATTTTCGCATTTCTTCGCGAAACGTTTCGTTCGCTGGAAACCCTAGCCACGGCCCATAAAAACCTGGGTTCTCTCTTTTGCACTTATAGAAAGCTCTACGTTTTTTTCTAAATGTATCAGACCCATTTTTATTGTTAAAGTGACAGAACCTAAAATTTGTAAAACAGCATTTAACTTCTCAGTTTTCAATTCAAACCAAACTGATGGCATTAGATAAAATATACACTGCATATTTGATTTTTTATTATTAAAAACATTTAAAGTTTTATGTATTTAGATTTATATTTAATCTTTTAATCTGTTTGCAACAAAATATTCTAATCCTTGCATCTTTTTTTTCTTAAAACCATAGAGAAAAGAAAAGAAGAGGTAAAACTTACCTCAGCTGTACACAACCGACCACCCTAATAATTGTAATGATTAAAGTCTTCTATCCAATACAATTCCAGATGTAAATCCTAGAGATTTTCTAGATCAATCAATTCCACCCATGGTTTAGGGTTTATGCAAATACTTCACTCTAGGTCCCCGTACTCTAGTTTAATAACCTCTTTATACATATCTCTCAGAGTATAAATGAATTGGGATTGATAAGATTCATAGTTTATTTATTAAATACATTTGTAACGTTTATTCATGTTTTAATAGAATCCCTGCTATGTTAGCCGTGCACTTACAGTTCGAGCTTCTCCTAGAGCTATTCCTTTAGTTTCGTATGTGACTTGGAAGTCTTAGTTATCCTATGTATCCTGTAGTTATTGTTACCACAGATGCGTACAGAGCTGATCTGCAATGAGCGGCGTCTCCGTACTCAGGATCATCTGGTTCTGCTGCTGACTCCACAACAGGTCTGTGAAGAGTTGTTCCATAATGAGTGGCTCTTTCTCAGGATCCTGGAAGTCCTAGCTCTCCTATGTGTCCTAGATATCCTAGAAGTCCTGGTCGCTCTGTTCATAGATCCAGCTGTGGAGCAAAGAGCGTCCTCTGATATCCTTAGTGATGCTGAGGATTCCGAGGATGTATTTTCATGTTGAAGGATGGGAAGGAGGCTGGCGTCTTCCATAGTCCTCTAGTAGTCATAATAAGATATATCATTTTAAGAGCTGTCCATGAAGTAAAAGTCCCCAGGCCTTAGTTGGATAAATGCAAGGTTATAATGCAAGGAAAGTTAATTGTAGCTGCGTATACTCTGCGTTCATATTGAAACCAGCTCTCTCTTGGTGGAATTTATAAACAAGAATAGACGCATCAGTGTTCGTTTAGTATCCGAGGAGGATAAAAGCATTGAATTTTGAAAATTTTGATAATTCACATAATAGATTTCTATGACCAGAACATTTCATTGATTTTTTATGTAAAAGATGGATCCCATGTCAGGCTGTGACATCCGTCTTGTGTTTGCATTACCGCCCAGAGACAGTACGCTGCAGTACAAAAGATGCGTACACCTCCGAAATAACTTTCCTTGCATTTTAACCATTAGATAAACGGAGTTCTGCTCTATCGTCTATCCTGTATAAGATCCTGGAGTGCACTGCTCAATCTCCAGGTCCCCTATATTGCGATCACAAAGAGAATAGGAGTTTTTGCCTTAATTATTACATAATTAATTAATTAATAGGGTGGTCGGTTGTGTACCTCTCGATATGTTTACTTGTAAGTATAGAGTGATCGTATTTCTTGGGGGTGGTAGATAATTGAATATTTGTATAGATAGTTAGATAGACACTTAATATGCATGATTGTAAACACAAGATTGTATACTCCAGTAAATTCCAGTTCAGTTGTTTGTTTATGTTGAGACAAACTATTGCATCGTGAGAAAAAAAACAAAAAATGCGAGTTTTTTAAAATTCCAAAACACTTTTAAGGTTGAGAGACTCCGCCGGACATCCCTCGAGTTGTATTTGCTCAATTCCATAAATTCCCTTCAGAAATACGACCACTCTTAGTGTTAGATATGTAAAAATATCGTGATGTAAACAACCAACTATGGGGGTCGGTTCTGTACATCTGAGTTACCCCTTCGTTTTTTCTTTAAACTTAAAATTTATACTGATGCAGTGCCAATAGCCGCTGAAAAGGCGTTGCGTGATTTAAAAAAAGGTTTTATTTAAATATTTTCATCAACATCTACTAATACAAGGGTTAAAGTTTTTTTTACCGGGTAGAACCGCTAAAGCATTAGATAATTTTGTTTATTGAAAAATTTCAGAATTTTGCCATTAATAAAAATCATTGTTTTAAAGGGAGTGACCGGCTATGTAAGGTAGTTGATCTGAGTTTGCAGTGTTGTGGAAAACTTCTTTCGGATTCATTTGAGACATTTTAAACTTTTTAAAAATCTGTAAATCCTGAGATTGAGCGCAAATTCGACGTTCAAAACTCCTACTTTGGGGGTGGTAGATACGTTTTCCGAATTAGAATTATTATTGAAAAGACGACATTTGAAGAATTTAAAGAAATCTGCGAATAAATTCAAAGAAGATAAGAAACTCAATATAATAATGAAAACGAAATAATCGATCTTAGCATTGATTTATTGACAAATTTCTTTTGAGAAATATGTTCCTAACCATCTAATTAGATTACTGTATAATTTTTACTTTATTTTTCGTTGTCGTTATCTAATAATTTAAAAAACTAATTCTGAAAACGTATCCACCCCAGTAGGAGTTTTGAACGTCGAATTTACGCTCAAACTCAGGATTTACAGATCTTTAAAAAGTTTATGTCTCAAATGAATCGGAAAGAAGTTTTCCACAGCACTGCATACTCAGTTCAACTACCTTACATAGCCGGTCACTCCCTTTGATATTTAAAAATGAGGACTTTGACAAAATTAATTAAACAATTAGATAACATTTGGAGTTAAATAATTGTAGTTTCAAAAATGGCATTGTTGCATTGTTTAAACTAATGTTCATTGATTAGTTATGTAAACAATCTGATTTTATTTTCCTGATGGAGTGTCAGTGCCTCTGATATTTCTCATAATACGATATATACATTATGTTTAGCCTTTAAGCGGGAAGTTTTATACAACTGCTGACGGGAAAAACATTTGTGAACTGGATTACAAGGTAATCAAAACATTATTTTATTTTTATTTTTTTTTCTTAAATATTAAACTGTTCAGAGGTCCCGTGAGAAATGTTTTCACTGCTCACTTCCAATGCTTGATCAGGAAAGTTAAGTAAACTGAAAAATAATTGAAAAATGAAAAATATGTTTTTTTTAGATTTTGACTGCTTTGGATCGAAAATATCATCCTCAGTGCTTTAGGTAAGGATAATGATATCTGTCTATCTATTTATTTATCTATCTATCTATCTATCTATCTATTAATGGAAAGAAGTCAGAACCGGATTGAAGAAGATTTTCTTCGATTCAATACATTGAAAGACATGCTATTTATTTTCTAGATTTATTTATAAATGGTTTTCGTTGGACCTTATTTGATTTAAGAATAGAATGTACAATATACTAATATGTGTGCTCTGTGTCATAAATCCCTGGATGGAACACCGTCTTTTAAGATGTCAGCTTATCTGTATATATATACTTTGCTTGTGTTGGCTGTTTGTCTATACGTTTGTATCCAACAAGCGTCAAAACGTCAGAACAGAACCGATCTGTTCCAAGTTTTGTGCGGGACCTCACGTTACCCTAGAGCCCAAAACTTAAGACAGTGTATCGTTATGAAAACCAGTGTTGTAAAACCCGGGTTTCGCGAATGGGGTTAGGCAGTTTTGTGAATATCAATATTTTTGTATTGAAATATTATTTTTTCAGTTTGCTTATATTCTCCATTTTTTTCGAATATCTTAAATCATAATCTACACAAATGTTAAGACCCCAAAAAGGAAACTCGGGAGTTTCGTTCAACGATACTCTTTTAAATTTTGGGCTCTGGGAAGGTTTACAGATGATTAGAATTACAAAAAGTTGTATTCAAAAAAATTAGATTTTCGTAAAATTTTGAAAATTCACGAAAACAGAATTGTAAAACTGCAAAATAGTTTTATTATTATTTCATCGACAAGAAAATGCTTAAAGATTGAGCAACAATTAAAAATTGAAAAAGAAGATTTGTGCTAAGCGCCCTGATGCAATCATCAGTATGAATCAGTAATAATATAAATATAGGTGTGCTCTGTGTGATATCCCCCTGGACGGAATACCGTTTATCCAAGACGGAAGAGTAGTGAACTGCAAAGATTGCTATGCAAGGTAGATCATCATCTTAACATTCTACTTTTTACGTTACAAATTGTTCAGTTATTTTTAAATGAATTGTTTAAGTATTTAAAAACACTTAAAACACTTATTTTTTGAAGTAGTCACAACTAGTGAAAGATTTTTAACAAAGGAATTGAGTCTTTGTCACATAATCTGATCTTCTAATCCCTATATGTTTTCAGTCCAATGTTGAAGATCTCAGAAATTTCAAACTATGAATTCTGTTAGATTAAATAATCTAAGTTTGACAAATCAAAGGTTCGCACCATCAGATTGCACAGATATAGAGATTAGAAAATTTGAGTTTGTGACAAAGACTCTATTCCTTTGAGAATAATCAATTTCATGTTATAGTAACTAAATGTATTTTTTAATTCTAAGAAACATTTACAAAAGGCATTTTCGGCTAAAATCAAAATTGACCATCTCAAATAGCCTTTTGTGATAAAAACGCTAGTAATAGTGTTTTTTTGTTTCTTCTCGACATTAAATATTTATACAAACCGTTTACTGCGTTGAATTAGGCTTTGCAAGACTGATCTTTTGATACCCATATCGACAAATTTTTTATCACCGGGTTTGCGGCCACAAATAGCTATTTGCGATGGTCAGTTTGGATTTTCTTGAAAAAATGCTTTTTGTAAATGCTGCATAAAATTAAAAAAAACACAGTAGTATTTGCTACTTCATTTGTGTTTCAAGAAAATGTTTCATCCTTAGTTTTCATGAGGGTCAGAATGATTGATACTTTCTGCAAAATATTCAGAGCGTTAATTCAGAAAACCCGTTTTTGTTTTTAATAAGAAATTGAGTTTTGCCACAAACAGAACTGTTTTTCTCCCTATATCTTTGCAGTCTGATGTTTCAAACTTAGAATATTCAATCTAACAGAATTTTTAGATTGAAATATCCAATGTCTACAACATCTGGTTGCAAAGATATTAGAATGAGAAAGTTTAAGTTTGTGGCAAAAACTTTGTTTGTTTTGTGGAAATTATCAAACATACTGTTGGTGTCCATCGCCCCGGATGACCAACAGCATAATTGATAATTAGTTCAGCTTAGTTCTGGTCCTTTTTTCACGTATTCTGGTATAATCTGGATTTTTAAACATTCTCTTTAATAAACTACTATTCAAAAACCCCCAAAATATAAGTTATAATTTAAATATGTTCCTTATCTAGATACAAGGCAAAACAATGCTGTATATGTGGAGAAGGAATAGTCTCTAGGTAATCATTAAGTATTTTTTTATGTAGATATATCTGTGTTAGATACTTTCCCAAAGGATTTTTCCCAAGTGGCAACTTTCCAAATGTGCGATTTCCCAAGCGGCAACTTTCAAAGGTTAGGTAACGGTCCTCTGAGGCGCCGTAGGCTGCAATGGGGGGGCCGAGCGCTGCGGCTAGAATGGGATAGGGGGCCGAGCGCTGCGGCTAGAATGGGATAGGGGGCCGAGCGCTGCGGCTAGAATGGGAAAGGGGGCCGAGTGCTGCGGCTAGAATGGGATAGGGGGCCGAGTGCTGCGGCTAGAACAGGAAATTGTAACTACTGAGGATCGTCATGATAGGCGTGAAACATTATGTTTAGTATAATTCTTTTTTAATAAAAAATGTGAAGTTAAAAACTGAAATATATATATATATATATATATTTAGAACGTTAGGTTTAAACATGGTATAATTTTCATTTTAATTTAACGCCGAAATTAATGCCGAGAAGTTTAAACTCTAAATTTTTCATTAAATGTCTAATATGATTTATTATCCAATACAAAATAAACCTTTGATTTAATTTTTTTTATTTCTGATTGACGTCAAACTGGTTTAAATGTTCCCCGCACTTTTTGTTTCCTTCTTTTCATTTGCACACTTAAACCATTCAAAATTCAATTGTTGCACATTCTTTATACATAATTTATATATATTGTATTTACACCATTTATATATATTGAATGAGATGTCTCTCTAGTCAATAGTTATTTGATATTGTTCTCACAATATCCTAGAAAGTTGAATTACTTTTAACTTTACAGAAAGCTAAAGATTTAAGGTTTTAAAGTGGGAAAATGATATCAGCAAACCATAACATTTTATTAAATTTATTTTAAAGAGAAATATTACACTTAATGTAAAATAGTAACTGTAAACAATTGTTAAGTGGTGATAGTAACTGTAGACTATTTTTTACTGCTAATAGAAACTGTAGACTATTGTTTACTACTGATAGAAACTGTAAACTATTGTTTAGTGCTGATAGAAACTGTAAACTATTGTTTACTGCTGATAGAAACTGTAAACTATTGTTTAGTGCTGATAGAAACTGTAAACTATTGTTTAGTGCTGATAGAAAGACTTCACTGATAACCTGTGAAGGCAGAAGCTACCACGAACAATGTTATTGCTGTAAGGTAAAGAATTCTAAAATCCTATTTGTTAAAGGGACTGTTCACGTAAAATCAAGTGAAGAGTTTATGCCAGACTTACATTGGTACCCTTTGTCTGATGTAAAATGATTGAGGTATCTTTGTTTGCTATCTGAAATTTGAACATTTTCAACCATGGTTCCCTGTAAATCATTAAAGTGACTTGCAGATTCATGCAGCAGAGACAATGAAGGAAATTAAGAGATCTAAACAGAAAAACGAAGATATCTTGCTCATTCTTAATCCAATTAAGAGTAAAAAATAAAATAAGAAATAAAAAAATAAAATAAAGAGTTCTTTTGAGAACTGGTCATATAACTCTTGAAAGCAACTTTAATATCGAATTTATTCTGTGAAAATAAAATAATATCATATTAGATAAAAACTAATTAATCTCATTCTGAAAGAAAAGCGAATATAATTTACTATTTCCTTGTTTATGTTCAGGGATGTGGAATTAGCCTAACCGGAGAATACTGTTATACTGCAGGGGACAATATATTCTGCACAGGCTGCCAAACTAACAATGTAAAATAGAAAATAGTGTTTAGATAATAACACAATTAAACAATATATATTCATGTTATAACACTAATAATATACTTGGCTGTAATTATTAAACAAATAAAGCGTTTACAAACTTAACTTCATAACGTACAGCGATAACCAGAAAACTCTGAAATAGGAAGACGACTTTTAGACTCAAGTTATGATTTTAAATAGTCCAATAAGCACGAGACACATCAATTGTGCAGTGTAAACAATAATAATAAGTGTCGTCAAATACTTTAAAAATCCATTGTCATCTGGTTAACAGTGCAATACAACTATTTGCTTTGTAACAGCATCAAATACACTTTAGTATTACAAGAAAGTCGTCTTCCTATTTAGAGTTTTCTGGATATCACTGTAGTATAGAAAATAGGTTGGAGAACTGAATTTTGTATTGAATTGATAAGGAATTTACTGTAGACGGTAACTAACCTTTTTTATCTTTCAATAATGATGCAAATAACCTAATGGGACTGTCAATATAATTTTATTTTAGACCCTTTTTTTCTTAAAGAGTAACATCAACGATTTACAATGTTCTAGAATGTAACACTAGTGGATTAATCCAATAGAAAAATGTGAGAGATGTGTTCTATTCCAATTTCAGATAGAAAAACAATGATATAAGACACATTTCTATTTGTTCTTAATGCAAATAAGTGTGTTCTCGATGCATATATTAACATGACATGTATTGTATATATCTATGAAAATGTATCATGCAAGTATATTTTACCCCTACAAAATCTTTAAGTTTTCATACTTTTCTTGATTTTAGCAGTTTGATGAACATTTCAAATTTGTCTTAAAGTTAATAAAAATTCTATTTATTTCATCTAAAGTTAAACTCATTAATATGAATACATCGTAAGAACTTTTAAAATGTCGTCTTTATCACTTTTCACTTTGTTTTGCCGCTGAGAATTATATGATGAAGGATGTTATACGTAAATAAGCGCTCAACTTTATGAAACTGTTGGATAAGATGTGTCGCATATTTCAGGGCTATTTGTTTATCCTTAAAAAAAATTTAGAATGAACTTTGAATCTCAACACACAAATTTTGATTATGTTTTAGTAAACTATAAATATTCCCAGCCTCAAATTAAAATTCTTCCGATGTGTTTAACTGATCAGAAGCGAACAGTAGAAATCCAACCGTTGAGAGGAGACCTGTAATATATTTTGTGTCTACTGTCTACAGTTCTATCAGAAGCCAACTGATGAGAAGATACCTGTAATATGTTTTGTGTCTACTGTCTACAGTTCTATCAGAATCCAACTGATGAGAAGATATCTGTAATATGTTTTTGTCTACTGTCCACACTTCTATCAGAATCTAACTGATGAGAGGAGACCTGTAATATATTTTGTGTCTACTGTCTACAGTTCTATCAGAATCCAACTGATGAGAAGATATCTGTAATATATTTTGTGTCTACTGTCTACAGTTCTATCAGAATCTAACTGATGAGAGGAGACCTGTAATATATTTTGTGTCTACTGTCTACAGTTCTATCAGAATCTAACTGATGAGAGGAGACCTGTAATATATTTTGTGTCTACTGTCTACAGTTCTATCAGAATCTAACTGATGAGAGGAGACCTGTAATATATTTTGTGTCTACTGTNTATTAGAGTATTTTTCGTGACCAAATATGCCGGCCATTTTTGTTACCAACCCAACCTTCCCCCCCCCCCAAAAAAAAAACAGCGAAGTCCAATATGAATCATTCTAGGAGTTTAACTTTTGTATGCAATAAACCAAGTGTAAACTGTAAACCTCAAAGTGTACACATGAATTACATAATTACACTTTGAGTTTTACGGTTTACATTTTGTTAATTGAATGCAAAAATTAAACTCATAAAATAATTCATATTAGAATTTGCTATTTATTTTTCTATATATTGACAAATTTAATTTTTTTATCTAGTTTCAGAAATCTATATACCCCTGGATAGTTTATTTTGGTTTACAGGCTAGCTCTACTGATTTCCCTATGGTAGCAAAATAAACAGAATCTAACATAATTTATTCTATGATGAACATATTGTTCAGGAACATATGCCAGCAGTACAAGTAGGGATGGGCAATAGCCAGATTCGTTTTACAGAAAATTTTAACTTTTTTAAAATTTTAAAAGGTTTAACGACATTATGAGAAGGTTCCAACATTTTAACACTTTAAATTTTGGGTTTTTAAAACGATAGTTTTTGGTTCGTTTTTGTCTTATATTTTCCCATAGGATAACAAATTTGCATGTTCGATAAAAGCAAACTTCTACAAAATACAATTTCAAATCGTTGGACCCTTCTCCGATTGTCGTAAAACCTTTTAAAAGTCTAAAAATATTAAAAGTTTCTGTAAAACGAATCTAGCTATTGCCCATCGCTAAATACAGGCATATGAGTTTTTTTTTTACCTACATGGGCTGTAAGGACTAAACATGTACTATAAGAACTAAAACTTGACTTTAAGAATTAAACTGGACTTTAAGGACTAAAACTAGATTGTAAGGACTAAAACTGGACTGTAAGGACTATAACCGGACTTTACGGACTAGAATTGGACTGAACGGACTAGAATTGGACTGAAAGAACTAGAACTGGGCTCTAAGGACTAGAAATGGTCTGTAAAGACTAGAACTGCACTGTAAGGACTATAACGGAACTGAATTTTAGTACTATAACTGAACTAAATGGACTAGAAGTGAACTATAAGACTATAACTGGACTGTAAGGACTATAACTGGACACTAAGGACTAGAACTGGACTCTAAAGACTAGAACTGGACTGGTATGACTAGAACTAGACTGGTAGGACTAAAACTTAACTCTAAGGACTAGAACTGGACTGAATGTAAGGACTATAACTGAACTGAAAGGACTAGAACTAACTGTAAGGACTATTACGGGACTGACTGTAAGGACTATAACTGGACTGTAAGGACTATAACTGAACTGTTAGGACTAGAAATGGGCTGTAAGGACTAGAAATGAACTGTAAGGACTATAACTGGACAATACGGACTATAACTGGACAATACGGACTATAACTGGACTGGTGGGACTATAACTGGACTGTAAGGGCTAGAACTGGAATAACTGGAATAATAATTGTCTTAAAACAATTTTTTTAAAAGTGAATATTTGCAAATTATCTTTTTTCCATCTGATAATCTGAGTTCGTTTCTCTTATGTCCATTTGACAGCCCAAATTTTTATTTTTAATAATCTTTTTTGTTTGTTTATTTTCTTGTGATTTTTAACAAACATTTTTTAAACATTTTTTTTTATCGATTTTAATGGTTATTATATCGTTAGAACTGACGAGGGTCAACCCAGACCGAAATATATTTTCAATAATGTGGAACTAACATCCACTTTTTTACTCTACAGAGGTTTGGTCCATCACCTCACCAAATTTTAAATAGAACTGGACTGTAAGGACTAGAACTGGACTGTAAGGACTAGAACTGAACTGTAAGGACTAGAACTAGACTGTAAGGACTAGCAATGGACTGTAAGGATTAGGACCGGACTGTAAGGACTAAAACTGGACTGTAAGGACTAGAACATGGCTGTAAGGACTAGAAATGGTCTGTAAAGACTAGAACTGAAATTTAAGGACTATAACGGAACTGAATGTAAGGACTATAACTGAACTAAAAAGGATTAGAACTGAACTATAAGACTAAAACTGGACTGTAAGAACTAGAACTGGACTCTTGAGACTAGAACTGGACTGGTATGACTAGAACTGGACTGGTAGGACTAGAATTTAACTCTAAGGACTAGAACTGGACTGAATGTAAGGACTATAACTGAACTGAAAGGACTAGAACTAACTGTAAGGACTATTACGGGACTGACTGTAAGGACTATAACTGGACTGTAAGGACTATAACTGAACTGTTAGGACTAGAAATGGGCTGTAAGGACTAGAAATGAACTGTAAGGACTATAACTGGACAATACGGACTATAACTGGACAATACGGACTATAACTGGACTGGTGGGACTATAACTGGACTGTAAGGGCTAGAACTGGAATAACTGGAATAATAATTGTCTTAAAACAATTTTTTTAAAAGTGAATATTTGCAAATTATCTTTTTTCCATCTGATAATCTGAGTTCGTTTCCCTTATTTCCATTTGACAGCCCAAATTTTCATTTTGAATAATCTTTTTTGCTTGTTTATTTTCTTGTGATTTTTAACAAACATTTTTTAATATTTTTTTTATCGATTTTGATGGTTATTATATCGTTAGAACTGACGAGGGTCAACCCAGACCGAAATATATTTTCAATAAATGTGGAACTAACATCCACTTTTTTACTCAACAGAGGTTTGGTCCATCACCATCACCAAATTTTAAATAGAACTGGACTGTAAGGACTAGACTTGGACTGTAAGGACTAGAACTGGATTTTGAGGACTTGAACTAGACTGTAAGGACTAGAAATGGACTGTAAGGATTAGGACCTGACTATAAGGTCAAAAACTGGCCTGTAAGGACTAGAGCTGGGCTGTAAGGACCAGAACTGGACTGTAAGGACTAAAACTGGACTGTAAGGACTAGAACTTGGCTGTAAGGACTAAAACTGGGCTGTAAGGACTAGAACTGGACTGTAAGGACTAGAACTGGACTTTATAGACTAGAACTAGACTGTAAGGACTAGAACTGGACTGTAAGGATTAGGATCGGACTGTAAGGACAAAATCTGGACTGTAAGGACTATAACTGGGCTGTAAGGACCAGAACTGGACTGTAAGGACTAAAACTGGACTGTAAGGACTAGAACTTGGCAGTAAGGACTAGAACTGGGCTGTAAGGACTAGAACTGGACTGTAAGGACTACAACTGGACTGTAAGGACTAGGACTGGGCTGTAAGGACTAGAACTGGGCTGTAAAGACTAGAACTGGACTGTACGGACTAAAACTGTACTGTAAGGACTATAAATGGACTGTAAGGATTAAAACTGGGCTGTAAGGACTAGAACTGGGCTGTAAGGACTAGAACTGTACTGCAAGGACTAAAACTGGACTGTAAGGACTGGAAGGAATTGTAAAGGCCTGTATACGGGTGGAATACTTTAGTCGAGGGTTAACAGTTGGTCTGAAAACATCCTCCAATACTCTTCAACCCTCACACTTCATTATTAGGAGAAGGAACTGGTAGAAGTCAACAACAATATTTTTCCTTTTCAAGATATCGTTAATTAAGATGGATACATACAAAAAAGCAGGTAAATTAGGTATTTAAAATTAATAAGGATTTAGGTTTCGTGAATTAAAAATTAAACGTATTTCTCTTAAACCGTTGAAAATTCCTTATTTTATGTTTAAAATGACGGTAACCCCTAACCAGCTGTTGGTTATTAGGATACCAGAGAGGGAGAAAAATCATGAACTTTTCAACATCTTCTCCTGTTTTTGCCCTAGATATTTTTCTTTCTCCAATTAGAAGATGGACTAGGGCTCGTCCGCCCTTAGTCCATTCATTCGATCTTTGTTACGCCTGAAGTTTCGTGGATTTTAATCGTCCTCATGAAATTTCTTAACGTTTTCTTCGTCGACTGTCGACATTTTATCATGGTCGTTATTCATTTGCATTTTTTGTGAGAAAGTCTGTGTTAATATTTATTATGCCGATTGTTGAATGTTCTTTTTCTTTTTCTTGACTTAATATTTATTCTTCAGCAAAGAAGAAAACATTTACAGAGATTTTACTAACTGGGAAGGTTCTTCTAACCAAACAACTAATGTAAATAATTTTTTTATTTCTTCGAAAATTACAAAAATAAATTTTTGAATGCCTAAAAAAAGGGGAATATGGTTTAAATGCAGTTTGAATATATAACTAAAATTAGTAAAAACGCTGCGTAGATGAAAGACGAGCTGCCCTATACATATGTAAAAACCCCAAAATTAAAAGATTGACCTTTATTACATACATACTTTAAAATACTGGCCTAAGTTACGGTATATAATAATCATTTATCAAATGCTAGCTTGGGAACCCAGCGCTGCCAAGTTACGGTATATAATAATCATTTATCAAATACTAGCTTAAGAACCCAGCGCTGCCAAGTTACGGTATATAATAATCATTTATCAAATGCTAGCATGGGAACCCAGCGCTGCCAAGTTACGGTATATAATAATCATTTATCAAATGCCTAGCATGGGAACACCAGCGCTGCCAAGTTGCGGTATATAATAATCATTTATCAAATGCTAGCTTGGGAACCCAGCGCTGCCAAGGCTACTAGAAGTTACTCCACCGTTTACCCACACTTTAAACGATTTTACCGGGAGACTAAATTCTCGCCATAAAAGTCTTGGGCATATTCGTTACAAGTTCTCGGTTATCTAAAGTTTTGAAATTGCCCTTAAAACGTACGTGTATTAGGTGAATTAAAATTATTTTTTAATTAAACATCAAAACATAAAACTAAAATTGTCGTTTTTAAATATTATACCTGGTTTATCTTTCCAGGGCCCAAAGGCCAACTTGCGCTAAAGTCCGAAGTACGGTTGCAGTACGGTTCCAGCAGAACAAAATGGCGGTTTTACACTTTATTCGACTTAATTTCCCCCTACTTAAATATTCTTCGCAACTATTTGTTTGTCTGACTTTTTTGACTTTAAAAGTATGCTTCGAAGTTTTCTGATAAGCCTTAGCTAGACAATCTTTCCTTAAAAACTTCTAAGTTGGAAAAGATCATCTATATGAGAAAGCTCTTCGCTCATTTACTTCAATATGTAAGTCATAACTTATAGCTGACCAAACGGCTGGATCAAATTGGCTGAAATTTGCTGAGAAAACCCTGGGGGGGGGGGTAACATTTCGATTTATTCTTTCTTCAAAAATCGAATATCTTTCCAAAGTGCTTTTTAAACTTCCCGGGCAAGTAAATATTAAAACTATTCAACTCTCAGGAAACAGTAAATTATGATTAAAATAAGAAATAAAGAAACTACGAGTTGGACAATTCATTGTTCATACAATATCACAAATTGAATTTTCATAAACTTAGATTTTACAATCTTTATAAATTTTCAATTTTATTTGATACAACAGAATTCATAGTTTGAAATATCTAAGGACTAATACATTCGGATTGCAAAGATATAGGGATAAAAAATTAGAATTTGAGGCATAAACTCATTTCCTTTGCATGCAAATTTGAAGAAGAGGAAAAATTGAGAAATTGAATTATGTTGGATCATATAATCAAAGTTTGTGATATCAAAGAATGAGCACATCAAGTTGAAAAGATTTTGGGACTAAGATATTTGAGATTGTGCTAAAGACTCAATTCGTTAAATACAATAATATATACAACATATAACCTATTCCTCGGAGAATATTGAATAAATCCCTGGCCTCAAGGTTTTTTTTTGGTTTTAATATTAATGTTTGGAGAAGATTTTTCCTCTCAATACACAGCATATATTCAACTGTAGAAATATTTATAGTTTCTCTCTTATCTCCATATCTTATTTTATATTAAAAATAAATATTGAATATTCCTCAGTTTTCTAGTTTTTAAACTATCATTCAGTGTCCAAATTTAATGAGTTTGAGCCGCGTCTTAAATCCGCCAAAACCCGGTTTCAATTGGGTGCCGGCTTAAATTTTGAAACATTGAATACAATTTAAAGTGAAACCAACCAAATTTGAGCCGCGGCTTAAATTCAAAGCTCAAATTCTTAAAATTCGGCCTCAGGACGCCATTTTTTAAGATGTAGATCAAAATATGGCAGTTTTATAGCTTTCCATAAATGCCACCTCAGGTTTAGTAATCGATTATCTAAAGTTAGAAGTTATGTTTGAAATTGCGCGATCTACAGCGCTGGATTTCGATATCCAATGAGGCAACCTTTAAATTTTAATTAGTTTTCTCTTCTGGGTTCCGACCATTCAAGAGGAATTTTCAGATGACAAAGGACAACTCTACTTTATCTTTTATCCCAGGATAGTTTTGCTTTCTACTCCATTAATTGCGTATTTTTTACAGGATTATAAATAAAGTTAAAGTTGGTCATTTTTAAAGATAGATTAAATATATTGCCACAATATGTCAATGTAAGATAATGCTGCCAAGAACAAGGCCAAGAGATATTGCCAGCAGGGTCAAATGAAAGTTTAATATTGCCACCAATGGTGAAAGGGAAAATACTGCCGACAATTTCGGAGTAAATGATATTGCCACCAAGGTCAAATGAAATTATCCAATAAGTGCAGAGCAAACTATATTGCTACCTAGGGTTATGGAAAGTGACATTGTTTGAATTTTTGTTCATCTCAACCAATTATTCATTGTTATTTTTTACTTCAGGAACTTGAAAAAGTTTTCAATTCTTTGCACTTTAGTTCTACATTGTGAAAAAGTTTTAACAATACAAAGGTGTAAAATTAAGTTATTCAACCGATGTATTAAATCTTTAAAATATCGTTGAAAAATGAAAAAAACATACGTTTTTATTAGTGTACTTGAAAAAAAGAAAACATCTTCAATTGGCTCATTATTTAAGCTTTTATTAATTCCGAGAGCACACTGCCACCCCTCAGTATATAGGCCTAGCTAGTAAAGCTGTACTAGGAACAAACCAACCAACAAATATGCTCACCTAAAAGGAATTGAGTTTTTGCCACAGACTCTGATTTTCTAATTTCAATATCATTGCAACCCAATGTCGTAGAACTTTAATATTTCAAACTATAAATGCTGTTAGATCAAATAATATAAGTTTGAAATATCAAAAGTTTACATCATCAGGTTGCAAAGATACAAGGATTACAAAAATTGAATTTTTGGCAAAGACTCCATTCCTTTGGGTAAAAATCGAACTTAGTGTACTTTACAGCTATCAATTTTTTTGCATTAGTATTAAAACAAAAATAAAATAAAATTTGGATTTTATGGCGTTTGCTGGGTTAAATTTTTCATTACCTATTCATTTTTATTTTGCATCGATAAAATACTATTAAAAGTTATGTTCAAATAACCTTGATAAAATAAATCTTTAAAATTTTTAAACTGTGCTTTAAAGATGCTAGGAACTTTCAAAAAGGCTTTTCCCGAAGTGGTAACTTCCCCAGGATATTTTCCTAAATAGCAACTAACCAATTATCGAAATTCCAAAGCGGCCACTTCCCAAGTATATCCTAGCCGCAGCGCTCGGACCCTTAACCAATCCTGGCCGCAGCGCTCGGACCCGACTCTGCAGCCTCAGAAGGCCTAACATAACCCTTGGGAAATTTCACATTTGGGAAGTTGCCACTTGGGAAATTTCACATTGGGAAAGTTGCCACTTGGGATATGTCACTTGGGAAGTCCACCTTGGAGAAATGCCTTAGGGAAAATACCAACACCGTTTAAGATGTAAATGAGCATACCAACCTTTTTATCCCTGTTGGTTAAATGAAGTTTGACGAATTGTTTTAAAAACGATTTACAATAATGCTTCTTCAACCTTTATAAAGTACTAGCTTGGGAACCCAGCTTTATCTGGTAACAGTCTTTCCCTTTACAGCTAGGTCGACTCATTCAATGCTTACACTTTTAAATTAAGTTTCCGTGATTACTACTTTATAAAAGGATTTCGTTATTCTCTTTCAGCCTTGTATGTAGTTTAGAGTGTTCGGAACTAATCTGAATATTTTCAAATGAGTTGAGAACTTAAATAATTCTTCCAATATATTAAGCACTTTATCCTCAGTTGGGAATTTATTAAGGTAAACCCCTACCTATATTAATAAATTCTCATCTCTGTTCTTTCTAATCCTCTTTACTTATTCTGACAACCGTTTAATCCCATATCATTCCAAAATAGCCTATCAATTGATATCTTGCAGTGTATGGAAAAGAAAAATATGTTTTTATGTCATATATACATGTTTGTTTTCTGAAAATGAATTATATTGGATGGTGAATACGTACAGAGAAAATATCTGACTTTGATATTTAAAACTTCTTTTGCGGGAAGGGGAAAACACATTCATAATGATTTAACTACAAAAGAAAAAAGAACTGAGTACTGGCCACAAACTCAATTTCTAGCTAATGACATCTGTGAGTTTTGACTCCAAAGGGGCCTCAGAGTACAAAAAGGGCGTTTAGACTAGAATTTATACAATAAAAAAAATGTTACACAATTAAAAATTTAATTATTTTATTTACACAAAAAAACTTTTAGATAATTTAGGTTGAAGAAGGAGATAAAGTTTAATTTTTCTTGCAACTGAGGGCTTATGGAAAAAATAATTTTTTTGATTTTTTTTTCCCAGTGAAGAAAACCGATACCACACAATTCCTTTTCTTGAATATATTATATACATACTCAATGCATAAAACAAATATATATAAATATATAAATATATAATACATATGTTACAGATGAATGATACGTAGCGGGAGAGAGAGCGGGTATTGTTCGAGATGAAAATTGTCTAAGGAAGAAAATGCCGAAAATGAAGGCAATGAAGAAAATGTAGAAAATGTCCGTACTCCAGGTAGGTTAGAATAAATTTAACTGAGGCTAATTTTTAATTTTAAAAAAGATTTTTGTATTTAGCTATTGTAAACCCCACTTACGTATATAATTAAATATAAAATTTCCAAACTTTGTGATTTCCAAGATGTGGTCTGCAATTTTGGTTCATTTGAAATACATTAAAATGACCAAGATTTGGGCTTTTATTAAACATAATTAAAACTGTTCACACATCTCGTTTCATTGTCGAATTTTTTGTTTCAATTTTTTTTCCACGGGCAACTCCTGGCCCTTCAGCTAGTTACCTAATAAATGTAAACAAAACTTTAAAAAGCTAATATTTTTAATATTTTACTAACAGGAATTAAAGATAATCTCAACTACAGTGAGAACTAGAAAACTTGTTAAATAGAAGACGATGTTCAAGCAATATTTGAGTGTATTAGATGTTGTTACAAAACAATTACTTTTACAATAGTAACTTATTAAATCACGTATTTAGTGAAATGTGTCTGTTTACACTACACAATAGTCTCATGTTCATTGGGCTTTTAAAAGTGACAACTTGAATCTAAAAGTGACAACTTGAATCTAAAAGTGACAACTTGAATCTAAAAGTGACAACTTGAATCTAAAACTGACAACTTGATTCTAAAAGTGACAACTTGATTCTAAAAGTGACAACTTGAATCTAAAAGTGACAACTTGATTCTAAAAGTGACAACTTGATTCTAAAAGTGACAACTTGATTTTAAAAGTGACAACTTGATTCTAAAAGTGACAATTTGAATCTAAAAGTGACAACTTGAATCTAAAAGTGACAATTTGAATCTAAAAGTCCTGTTTTTAGAATTCCTATGTTAAATGGTACAAACTGTGATATTACGTATTATACCTTGAGTTAAAAGTCGTCTTCCTGATTTTCACTGTAGTTTCTGAATTCCTGTTAATTGGTACAAATTGTAATATTACGTATTATACCTTCTGAAATGGAAACAGACTCTATTTTAATATAAAATCCTATTTTGGTGCTCAGTAAATACCAATTTAACTTTTATCTCCTTCAGGCATGTTTGAAGGAAAAACTTTTTTAATATATTTTTTTTTACTCAGAAATATCAAACGTGATTGAAGTTTAAAATCTGGCGTAAATAAGTTTGAAATCTGACGTAAATAAGTTTGAAAACTGACGTAAATAAGTTTGAAATCTTACATATTTATAATCACAATTCCTGATGTTGAAGAGTTATCGAGAAAAACAAAAATGTTTTGAATTTGTAATATAAAGTTTGATGAATTTGCTATTCTCATCAAGACTAGAGGAGATATGAGGTCTCAAATTTGTATCAGTAATGCCGCATTAATTTGACTTTTTTCCCTAAGAAAAAATGCTTGAAATATCTTCGCTTACTCTAAATTGATAAAATGAGGCTTAGGCTTTTTTTAGAAAGAAGACCTCTGTGAATCGCTATTGGATATTAACTTTAAGACCTTTTAATACCTAACTTCAGTAGAATTAAGGCTTAAAGAAAAACAATTTTGAAAATTTGATTTTTCTTTTATCAAATTCTGAATTAAGATCCTTGTTTTAACGAATCAGAATATTTCAGAAAATAATTGTGCACCTTTAAAGTTTTAAATAAAACAACTTTATTTTATGATGAAATTTTGTTCATTACCATACAAACCATCACCGTGTTAAAATGTTTTAGTTAATTTATGAAACCTTAAAACATATCTTTTTTCCTTCTTATAAAGATTCATTTTCTTCTTTTATGAAAAAATTCATACAAATCTTTTAACATTTAGAGAGAAAATGCGGTAAATAAATTCATTTTATATAATACGGACTACGGACTATGGAGTTTATTTGATATTACACAATGCTGGAAACTTGTAATATCAGTGATTTATTTACTTTTTGGATGAATAATAATGTACTTTATTCACCTTAATTTGATAAAGAAATGTATGAGCCGTCTAATATGTTTAGCTAACAAATGATTGAAAAGCTGATGTTAGTTTTGTTTCGGAGTGCTTTACTTTTAAATTAGTTTCGTCAATATAAAAGTACAAGCTCGGGTTAAACAACTTTATCGTTAATCTTAGAAATAATATTTAACTTTTAAACCTGTCTCCCCTTATGATTGTGAGAAAATTTTTTAGATATGTCAAAATAAATATGAGTCATATTACATATATATAACATTAATACTACATATAGAAACTAAATTAAATCTCTAAGCTATTTTTTTTACAATATTAATTATTTAAATATTCTTTTGGAAACAAAAACTAGATCAAAATCTTATATTCAATTCTATCCTTCTTTTTTGATAACCACACTACTATAGAGGTTTGTTTTTTAACTTGTTTTTTCTTTTCTATTTCGACTCCGAGAGAAGGGGACACCACAAGTTAGGTTAGATTGTCGTGCCTGGGACAGACTAGTGGGCGAGCGCTGCGCTGCGGATCAAAAAGATAAAAAACTCATTAGGAAAAAGTTAGTTATGATTGTAAATTTTGGTCAGGTGCAAAAACATTTAATGGGAGAAGGGAGTAAACTAAATCTTCCAACCCCCCCCCCGCAAACAAACCCACCCATGAAAAATTCCTTTTTAAAAATATGTTTTAAAAAGTGTATAATTTATTTTGGTTACATTGGTTCAAGGATGATAAATGAAGCTAAAAATGTCGATTAATATTAATAGTTAATGTCTTTTACTAAACAATTATAAATGAATTAAGACTGCAAAAGATAAATTAATGTAAATTTACTTTTTCACCCAACAAAAAAAAATTTGTTACTTTCATAATACACACATGTGTCGTACATAAAGCATCCTTGTGGTCCCTAGACAGTGGCTATGGCACTTATTATAAGAAAGAAAATGATTTTTAGCAACAAACTTTGATTTTCTAATCATTGAACCCAATTTCGTAGACCTCAATATTTTAAACTATGAATTCTGTTTAATCATGTAATCTAATTTTAAAATATCAAACATTCACACTATTAGATTGCGAAGATATAGGGATTAGAAAATTTGAGTATCTTTCAGGTTGATAATATTTTAATTGTAAGGAACCAAAAGATTCGTCCTACACACAAAAAATAATAAAGATTTCGACAAATATACATAATGAAATCTGAAAAATTTTGTTGAAAAATAATTGGAACTATTCATACACTGTGGTGTGTAAGAAAATCAACATTTACATTCTAAAGTTAGCTCTGGTTAATCTGCAAGATTTCGTATTGCTCTTTAATATGATTATACCCTCCTCCCCTGGCGATAAAATTTTAATATTTGTAAGAACTTATTTTATATTTTAGTATGATTAATAATATAAATATGGATATTTAGACTGAATAATGTTATGGTTTAGTTCCCTTCTCATCATGCATAATCCTTTGTTAATCCTTGATATATTATCCAACCATTAAACTCTTCTCAAACACTAGATTCACTAAACAGTAAGGATAGGATATATTATCCAACCATTAAACTCTTCTCAAACACTAGATTCACTAAACAGTAAGGATAGGATATATCATCCAACCATTAAACTCTTCTCAAACACTAGGTTCACTAAACAGAAAGGACAGGATATATTATCCAACCAATAAACTCTTCACAAACACTAGATTCACTAAACAGTAAGGATAGGATATATTATCCAACCATTAAACTCTTCTCAAACACTAGATTCACTAAACAGAAAGGACAGGATATATTATCCAACCATTAAACTCTTCTCAAACACTAGATTCACTAATCAGTAAGGATAGGATATATTATCCAACCATTAAACTCAAACACTAGATTCACTAAACAGTAAGGATAGGATATATTATCCAACCATTAAACTCTTCTCAAACACTAGATTCACTAAACAGAAAGGACAGAATATATTTTGTAAAAAGCAAAGAGGAGAAATATGAACAAGAAGGAAGATAGTAGGATTGACAACTTATTAAAGTTATTTGACCAAGATTTAATGAATTGCCAAACATGATGAAAAGCGTACACGTAGTTAAACAACTTCTCTTCTTCTAACAAGAGAAGTATTTGCACTACGTCTTTGCGGTTCAGCGAATTCTCCCAATTAATTAAATCTTGTCCCTAATTCATCAAAGATTCATTTATCAAATTATGCAAATTGTGGATTTCTACAGCACAAGCAAACAATATAATGGTCAATAAAGGAATTGAATCTGTGCAACAAACTGAAAATTTGAAATCACGATATCTTTTTAACCTGGATGTGTTAACATTTGATATTTTAAATTTATTTTATTTAATCTGACATAACTCATAGTTTAAAATAATTAAACCCTACGACATTTGCCTGCAGAGATATAGATATTCTAATATTAGAGTTTGTTGTAAAGACTGAATTCCTTCGTCTATTTATTTTTCAATTGATGTTTAAAGGGTGAGTAATCAGGCGCGCAACTAGACATTTGGTTAGAGGGGGGCTAGGGGGAAATATTTCGCGCGAAGCGCGAAAATTTTTTTGGCCCCCCGCTAAACATTTTTAGGGGGGGGCAAGAAAAATGTGTGTTATACTTAAACAATAAAAACTAACCTTACCAACCGGATATTCAGTTATAAGTCAACACATCTGATATAAAATGAAACAAGAAAACGCGCCTGGGTGAGTTGACGTAAATCGATACTAGGATTCTTTAATTGATAAAATATAGCTCAACGCTCATATATATATATATATGTATATGAAATGCCCAGCTTTGCAAGTGCAATAAATATGAAAAAAAAACTTTAGAATTTGAATTTTTACCAAATCTTTTCATGTTTTTAATATTAAAAAAATACGGAATTATTTCTTTTTTATACATATTTCATTCCTAGAAATTGACATTGTTAGATAGAGAATTCAATTCATATTTCCTTTTATTACATTTTTAAGTTCTGATTAAAAATTTTCCATTTTTCGTTTTAATATGAGCAACAGAAGTTTAGCTCTCGACTTTAACCTTATTTTAAAATTTAACATTGCATTTAATGAAAACAATCTATGAAAACCTTAATAAATCTAAACCAGAATTTCCGCTTGGAATATTCCTAGACTTAAAGAAAGCTTTTGATTGTTTTGATTTAGACATACAAACAAAATTATTTAGCAAAATTATAACATGTGGTGTTCCTCAAGGAAGTGTTCTAGGGCCCCTTCTGTTTCTTCTTTATATAAACGATTTGCCCCTCGCAACATCTTTTTTATCAGCCTCTTTGCAGATGATACTAGTTTTTTAAAGTCATTTCCTGACATTGCAAGCCTAATACTTGATGCAAACACTGAACTAAAAAAGCAGCAAAATGGTTTCAAGCAAATAGTTTGTCACTAAATGTCTCCAAAGCAAAGTATATAGTATTTAGAAATAGAAATATGCATTTTGACCTCAACAGTTGTAATATATCAATTGGAAATGAGATACTTGAAAGAATGGGTAATGACTGTGTGAACAAATATTTCATATTTGTGGACTTAAACGAATTCTTAAACTGGGATTTTCAAATTGAACATATCTCGAATAAAATTGCTAGCTCAATCTTTGCTTTGTCTCAAATGAAGAATATGTTACCATTAAACATTTGTCTACTTGTTTATAACTCTCTTGTCTCATATTGAATATGGAATTGTTACTTGGGGAGGGGTTAAAAGCTCTTAACTCCAAAAAGTCAGATCCTTGCTAAAAAAGGCAATCAGAGCGGTTAATAATAGTACTTTCAAGGCACATTCAAATCCATTATTTTCAAAAGTGAAAGTTCTTAATCTTGCACTCCTGTATGCCGAGTCCATTAGCGCCTGATCTAATCAGGGTTCAGTCATGCGTTTTTTGTCTATTCGGAACCAATAGAAATAGCATGGCGGTAACATCTATGTTTCTATCTATCTCATTATCCAATAAGAGATATGAATCCTTCAATCGGCGCTATCAGTTAATGGGTCTCTAGCTGAACCGAATAGAACAAAATCATATAAATTAGAACGGGTTTTAAACAAAAATAAAGAAAGCTTTCCGTCCGCAATGTTTCCTAAATTGTGGAATGCCATTGAAATTGACCTTATAGAAACTAAAAAATCGTTAACGGTTTATTACAGGCCTTAAAGGCAAAAAAAATTACAGCCGTTAATGGTATATTACAGTATTAATGGCGTTAACAGCGAAAAAATTTCATTAACGGTTTATAAACACAGAAGACGACATTTTAAAACATCACAACACGTAAATTTTTTCAATTTAAAAAATTTCATTCAATTTTAATCAGAAAATAAAGAAAATTACCTTTTTTAGATTTTTAGTTAACGTTTTTAACCTTTAATTTTTTCTTCAAAACCAGTTAATCTGTTTCGTTACTGATTTAAAAATTAACGATTTTTTCGTTAACGGACTTTTCCGTTAATTTCCGAAAACCTCCGTTTCGTTAACGTAACTTTGCCCAGCCCTAATATTAAACAGTAGTTTCTATAATATATTTATATATCAGAAGTCAAATATATATCCCCCCCTTTCCCGGGGTTTTAATAATGTAATTTAGGTATAAGATAGTAGAAAAATAATTTTCTCATTTAAAAATCCCGTGTACATCTCGTTAAATAAACTCAAGTTTTCCCCGTGTAAAAATTCGGTCCTAGACCCGTGATCAAATCGTCGACATTCACCTTGTCAAAACGCGAATATCACGGCATATTCACGGGCTGCTTGTGTCAAATACACCAGAAATTCTTTTATTCTCCACGGGTTTTTGTTTGTTGGGACGGGTACAACTTTGTGACCTCATGGCTCTTCTAGTTTTTATTTCATGAAATAAAAAAATTTAAACAAATATGAAACAGAGGTTGTTTTATGAATCTCAAGTCAAAAAATCAAAACTTTTCCTTATTCTGAATAGCTCCACAAATAAACAAATACATTGTTTTTCCTCTTCAGGTGTCTGATACCAGAAAGTCAAAATCTGAAAGATGATTCCCATGGCCTCTAAATTTGTAGGTAAATTAATCGAACTAACTGTTCACAAATATAAAAAATTAAGTTTGAGATATGCAACATTTTGAAATATTTAATCAAATGGAACATTTTTCATTTTTTTATATTGAAACCTTTAAAGAGTAAGATATTTTAAGAACTACCATTCTTGGAATTGTGATTTGAGAATTGATGCTTGGAAATAAGCGACTTCGAAGTTACATTATGGAAGTTGAGAAATATGGGAATTAGGACTTGTCCCTGGGAATATAATAATTTTTTCGAAAGAGTGAGTTACCTTTTGGCAATTGAGCCAATTAATGTTTTGGTGTTTTATAATTTCTAAACCTCTTCCTAGTGTAGTTTAGGAAATAAATGACTAGGGAGTTGCCTTTGAAAATTATCTTTTGGAAAGTATAAAATATCAATCGATGTCCTTTTTCCATAGTTTCGTTTTTATTACAGTTTTATATTGTCTGAACCTCCTTAAACTGTAAGATATACGTAAGAGAAGTTTCGAATGGGTTTCCTGTGTGAGTGGTTGGCTTGAAGACTGTATGTGTAGAGTGTCTGGGTGTATAGCTGGCAACTGTATATATAATAGTACTTGGTAATATAATCATATGTAGTTTTCCTATAATCCAGAATACAGGGGAATTCACAAAACATCAAAATAAAACTGCAGACATTTTTTTGGTTCTTGAATATAGATCTTTAATTATGACCAACCAATCCTGGTTAGTCGGGTTCAGACTTGATGAAAAATTGTGATTATCTATTTGCATTATTACATCACACTTAGAAATTAAATAAAACGATTATTTATTTTACTGTTATAAACTATATAAACTATAAACTTTAAGCTATAAACTATAAACTATAAACTATAAACTATAAACTATAAACTATAAACTATAAACTATAAACTATAAACTATAAACTATAAACGATAAACTATTAACTATTAACTATAAACTGTAAAATTGTTATTGATTTGAATTTCAGTAGTATTGTAAATGTAATATATTCATATTTCAACTNAGTAGTATTGTAAATGTAGTATATTCATATTTCAGTAGCATTGTAAATTAGTATTTTCATATTTTAGTAGTATTGTAAATGTAGTATATATTCATATTTCGCGAATTTCGAGTTTCGCAAAAAAACTGTTTCCTGAGATTTGCAATGGTAAATATAAGACTTGAAGCTTAGCGGATAACCAATACCCACACTGTAAAGCTTTTCACTGTCCGGTCTCATGCTTTATTTGGGGTGAGCTGAATCAATTATTTTAAAAATAAAATCTTCAGCAAATATTGTTTAGGAATGAATTGAAAATTGTAATTTGTTCCGTTAATAGAACTATATGTATTATATATCATACAATTCAAACATTTCTATAATATAAAGGGGGTGTAAGCATAATTTAAAATTGACCTCTTATTTGTAAAGTGCCGTGTCGGATTCACAACTGTACTCAAACCTTTGACTGCTTAAGGATGAAGGGTTAATTCTTATTTATTCACAAAACGATTGTTATTGTTAAACACTTTGTCTCCAAGCTGTTTTATTATCAAAGAATTAAATATTAATATATATCTTCTAAAAGTTGTGTTGAGTATGTGATGCACACTGTACAGGATTCTTGGAAATTTGAGTGTAATTTTAGAAATAAACACACGGATAGTTCCGTCGATGATCCGAAAAAATATGATTAGGTACCGTTGTGCTTCGGACATGCAAGAATTATCATAGTTAATTATATTATTTAGGAATGCTAGGACTAGGATTAATACTCCTGGTTGGTCTGAGTACAGGAGATATCCCTGTCTGTACTCCTGATGCTATGGGAGAAAATCCGTTCTGCTTTCCACCGGACTATAATAAGGTAAAATAATACTGACACATAAACCTTTTCTTTGAAACTTTTGAAAAGATTTTTTGAAGGAAGTTTTTTATTTTAGTAAGAATGCAGGGTGAACCATTAAAAATATACAACGTGTTTTGCAACTATTCCAAAATGTAATTAAATAATACCTTTTTCTGATAAATAAGCAAAATGCTATAACAAAAGCAGGAAACACTAAGGTGAAAAAATTAGAAATAAAAACAGGATTTTTTGGGTCCTTCCAAAAATGGAGGAGTGGCATGTCCGATTCACAATGGTACCGACCCTTTAAACCTCTATAAATTCAAGGATGGAGAAATTATCATTATTCTTGTATCAATAACCTTATTGTGAGTCGTGACTATGTCTCTGAGAGAAAAACTGTCAGATTTGAATGCAAACTATCCCTGTTAAAAGTTAGATTTCAATAAACCAAAGGCAATGGAAAGTACCAAAGGAAATGGAAAGTACCAAAGGCAATGGAAAGTACCAAAGGAAATGGAAAGTACCAAAGGAAATGGAAAGTACCAAAGGAAATGGAAAGTACCAAAGGAAATGGAAAGTACCAAAGGCAACGGAAAGTTTGAAATGTGCTTAAAAGTACTGTCAGAGTGTTTTCAAGTGAACCTTCATTTGCATTCAGATAAAGTGCAAATTTTACTATTTGAACGGACTGCGGGCGTAATTTCAATTGATTTGTCATTATAGGTAAAGTCAAGGTTGTAATGCAAGAAAAGTTATTTCAGTGGTGTACGAATTTTTTGTACTGCAGTGTACTGTCTTTGGGCTCTAATGTAAACACAAGAGTAGGGGTGCCACAGCCTGACATGGGATCCATCTTTCACATAAAAAATCAATGAAATATTCTGGTTATAGGAAATTATAACATAAATTATCAAAATTATCAAAATTAAAAAAAACCTTTAAGTTCTTCAATTGTAAAGTTTTACTGAGGTTATAGAAAAACTTCTGCATTTTTTTAAATTCTCTAACAATGAGACCCAATAAACATACAAGAACAGAAATAAACTATCAAACTTTAATATTGTCTATATTATGCTCGTTTTTGGGTAAGGAATGGTTCAATACTTTAAAGTAAAGTATCGATGAAAATCCTTTTGTTTTAGGCTTCACTTTACTGTGGTAGGCGATTATATCAATATATTGAAGACAACTTTTGATTTCAATATTGATTTATTCAATTTTTCAATATTCATATCTATGAAATGTTATAAAACGATGCATGGACTCCAATGCCATTTAAAAGTATATATCTCAGTGAATATCTTTATTATTTTTATTTTTCAATTAATCATTTCTTAATAAGCCTCCACCCTCTAGGTGGTTAATGATCTGAAGACTACAGAGAGAGGGAAAATAATGAATCTTAATTCCATTAATCCTATTGTTCCGTGACTGTTATCTATAGTGATTATTATATCTTAAAAATATTATTTTCGTTAGCATTTTGGCTTTAGTTGCTGAAACATTTTCTTTTTATAATAAAAGCATCCATATCGAGAAAGAAAAACAATTTATAACATACTATCTTCTTAATCACTGGGTTTAAAAATCCATGGCATATGATATATACTTATAAAAAGAAAAGATTATCTTACTTTTGAAATGTGTTCAGATGAATTTATAATATATTACATTCAATTCTTTTTTAGTTCAGTTGAGTTAAGTTTATTAAGTAAGTTTTGAATCTTTTGACGCATCTAAACAAGATTATTCTTCGGTGTAAAATGAACCATGAGGAGCTATGAGTTTATCACGTCAAACTAAAGTAAAATCCACGTCAGATTTAAGTTTTTTTTGTGTTTTTAATCATAACACCTTTTATTGTAAAGCTATAGAGAGAAATTCACATGTTTTGAATTTCTAATACAGGGTGTCCCACGAAACATGACAGTATGCAGGACGACTTGAATGTCGTCTTGATTTTTTATATAATTTGCTGCGTTTATTTGTCAACCTAATTTTAGAAGTAAATTTCTAGAGATAATAATCACAAAATTTCCCTTGTCCTGCCATTTCCAAAATGTGGTCTGCCTTTTTTGTGCTTTCAATATTGCCCGAGATATGAAGAATTTCGTTCAGATTTCGACAATTTTGCTTTTATTTAACAAAATTGAAATCTGAACCAAACTCTTATCTCCGGTAATATTGAAAGCACAAAAAACGCAGACCACTTTTTGGAAATGCCAGGGCTAGGGGAATTATGTGATAATTGTTTCAAGAATCATACACGTTAAAGTAGATAGAAGACTAAATGTCACAAATAAATTCAAATACCAAAGACGACTTTCAAGTCGTCTTCCTATTGTCATGTTTCGTGGGAAACCCTGTATGTAACTGAATTAACTTGCTTTTCTCATGCAATTGTACATACCATAAAAACTAGAGGAGCTACGAGGTCACAAAGTCGTACATTACCTTCTCCTGTCTGCCCAGTTTGCAGTGTTACTTTTATAACAGTTTGCCAAGTGTTAAACTGTGAAATCAATCGTTTGTTAACGAAGGATTTAAAAATTGTTTAAGCCTGTATCAATTATAAAAATAAACTTTATGAATTTTAAAATTTTAAACTTCTCAGATTTTAAAAAGCCTTGTTCTGAAAGGGATTGTAAGCGTAACTTCAAATAACCCTCCATGTAATGAGGCAATGCCCGATTTACAACGGTACCCTTTAAACCTTTGATTGTTCACCGAGTACAGAGACATGACTGTGAATATATCAAATATTTTTCGAATTCTCGTAAAAGTTGAGTGCATGCTAGCGTACAGTATGAACTCAACTCAGTTGTACTGTGTGAACTTAGCTCACCTGTACAGTGTGAACTTAACTCAGTTGTACTGTGTGAACTCAACTAAGCTGTACAGTGTGAACTTGTGTAGAGTGTGAAATCAACTCAGCTGACGTTAATTGTGTCTCTCTCGGTTTAAAAAAATTTGATATTAAATCAACTTCTACCTCTAGAAACTAGAAAGTAAAGGTTAAAGGTTACTTTTGTGAATAGGACACACTTGAAATCACGCTAACAGTCCCATCAGGGGCGGATACAGGATTTAAGCGAGGGGGGTCCTGGATTAAGTTAGGTACAAAAAATCCTAATTTAGGAACCAAAAACGCGCTGCAGGCAAAATTTTTTTTAACTCAATAGACATAAAAAGGGTTAAAATTGATGGCTAAAGACTAAAAAACTAGATTTTTAACTTATTTTGTTTGGAGAGGCGCAACTAGCGGGGGGGGGGGTCGGCCTGTTGGACAAAATTGCTAGTTGCGCCTTACGTTTGGTCAAGACTTAGGAACAAAACACAAACAACTCGGCATTTCACATCATAAATAGGAAGAAATATCGTACTTGAGAAAAGGAACAAAGCCAACAGGTCAGCTGAGAAAATGCAATTTAGGATTTTAGGAACAAGTTCTTTCTCAAATTCTGATTTTCTAATCCCTGTATATTTGCAACACGATGTCCTTGACTTTAGCTATTTCAAACTATAAATTATTTTGGATAAAATACTTTAAATCTAATTTTGAAGACAAAAAATTTAAAATGGCAAACCACATTTTTGAAATCTCGAGATTAGTTTAATAACTACAATGACTATGTTCACTAATTCTTAAGTTCTTAAATTCCAGTTTTAAGATTTGTTTATTAAAGGATTTGATTCCCCCGACGGATACCTCGCTCCAGGTGCATGTGGAGACCTATATATTCGAAGTATCGAAGATTGATGATATCAGTTTAACCATCACCTTCGAGCTCTACATGGATCTCATGTGGGAGGAGTCCAGGTAATTAAAGGGACTGAACATGTAACTTCAATCATGTAGGAGGAGTCCAGGTAATTAAAGGGACTGAACATGTAACTTCAATCATGTAGGAGGAGTCCAGGTAATTAAAGGGACTGAACATGTAACTTCAAGCATGTGGGAGGAGTCCCGGTAATTAAAGGAACTGAACATGTAACTTCAAGCATGTGGGAGGAGTCCAGGTAATTAAAGGAACTGAACATGTAACATCAAGCATGTAGGAGGAGTCCAGGTAATTAAAGGAACTGAACATGTAACATCAAGCATGTAGGAGGAGTCTAGGTAGTTAAAGGATCTGAACATGGAACTTCAAGCATGACCTTTCTTTTAAAGAATGGTATGACTGATTCAGAACGGTACTTTCTAATCGTCTCTGTGGCCTTAATCCACAAGTCAATTTTATATGAGAAACCACAAAAAAAAATTCATTCAGCTAGAAAACTACAGATATCTTATTTATCTTTGATCAGAGAAAGGGTGCCGTTGTGCATCGGATAAATAAATATTTGTCAACCAATAGTAAAATATTATCTGCAATTTTGAATTGGGTCTTGTCAATTCATTGAATGGGTGATTTTTTTTTGTGTTAACATTTTTTTTATATTTATTTTTAATCCGATGGAGAGATAGTAATGCAAGGATACTCAACAGTTTTTTGGCATTGTACTTGCAACCATGAAGCTACACCATCCACTCTCAACATAAATCTTTTTCTTTTCATTATATGATTAATCGAAATAAATTTTTTCGATTTTTAAAGATGGAAATTATTGAACGAGAGTTTTAGTAAGATATATTGCTCTGAACAATCATCTAATCGTTACTTTAAAAAAAAAGTTAACTATTTTCTTTAAAATTTAACCAAAATCAAAACCTCATATTTTCACAATTCAATTCACGGTTTTTTTTTGTGGGAGAAAGGAATTGAGTCTTTGCCACAAACTCAAATGTTCTAAGGCATATATGGAAACCCTGATAATATTAAACTTATATTAGTTGATCTGACAAAATTCATAGCTTAAAATATCGTGGGTCTACTCCAGTTGGTTGCAAAGATATACGGATTAGAAAAGACTCAATATCTATGACTAGTCGGTTGTAAAATCATTCTTCTTGCTTAAAACCGATATATCTTTGCTACCTAATGAAGTAAATCTTTGATATTTCAACCTCATTCTTTGTAATAATAAGAATTCATAGTTTAAAATATCAAACTTCTGTGAAATGGGGTTTAAAAGAAGGATTAGAAAAATAAACTTAGATGAGAGAAATCAGTTCCTTCGGTTAAAAATTCCTGTATAAATTTATTCATCAATATTTTCCATTACGTCTCGTAAATAAGTTTCTCTAGAATTGTTAAAATATTGATGGCCTGCAAACTGGCAGTAAATTCCAATAATACTATAAGTATAAAATCAGTTAAAACTTAAGTATCCAAGTTTAAATGGAGACTACCATATTGATATATTTTTTTTAACAAAAATATTAAAATATTAAAAAAGATAACGTCCTGATTTACCAATGAAATCTGGAACTACCGGATTTATCAATGAAATCTTGAACTACCTGATTTATAAATGAAATCTGAAACTATCTGATTTATCAATGAAATTTAAAAACTATTTAAAATTCGGTGATGGTGATGGACCAAACCTCTGTAGAGTAAAAAAGTAGATGTTAGTTCCACATTTATTGAATTTAAAATTTATTGAATGTAAATATTACTGTATGTAAAAACTACCTGATTTATCAATGAAATGTAAAAACTACCTGATATATCACTGAAATCTTAAACTACCTGATTTATGAATGAAATCTTAAACTACCTAATCTATCGAGGAAATCTTGAACTACCCAATTAATCAATGAAATCTTGAACAACCTGATTTATGAATGAAATCTAAATCTAAGTTATCGATGAAATCTTGAACTACCGGATTTATCAATGAAATCCTGAATTACTGCATTTATCACTGAAATCTTGAACTACCTGATTTATCATTGAAGTCTTGAACTATCTGATTTATTAATGAAATCTTGAACTACCTAATTTATCAATGAAATCTTGAACTACCTAATTTATCTATGAAATCTTGAACTATCTGATTTATCAATGAAATCTTGAACTACCTAATTTATCAATGAAATCTTGAACTACCTATAATTTATCAATGAAATCTTGAACTACCTAATTTATCAATGAAATCTTGAACTACCTGATTTATCTATACAATCTTTAACAACCTGATTTACCAATGAAATTTTGAACTACTTGATTTATCATTGAAATGTTAAACAAAAGTTGAGAATAACAGATTTATCAAGGAAAATGATTAAATGCGTCAAAAGGCATTATGCTACAGTTTACAGGATTTAGACAGCATCAAAAGAATTCATTCTAAGATAAATTGGTACCAACTTTCCATCTTGAATAGGATACTTCTGTACATCTTCAAACCTCTTGAGAAGTACAATTTCTCAATTTCTTTGACGTTCTAAAAATTGGGTAGTTAAAATTATTTTAAAATCTGCCTAAAAGTCCTTGGTTGAAAAAGTTTTGAAGGAATTTGTTTTCAATTTTAATTCATTTTAAACAAAAAACTGATGACAAAATTCTTTTTTTGGCCACAAAAAATGTTGCTTATATTAGGGCGTTATGCAAATCTAACACGACTGAAGAAAACGACTAACAGAAGGGTAAAAATATCGGACACATTTTTTATAAAAATGATTAAATCCACCTTTCACCAGCTCAAAAGTTTTCTTTAAAAATAAAGCAAATTAGAAGCAAAAAACAGGGTTAATAAAAATAGTTAATAAAAAATAGTTTTTAGCCTTAAACAAAATAATTTTTTTTAATATTGAAAAACTGACACATGGACGGTATTCAGCGGTTAAGTGGTTCTTTTGATACCCAACGTTACTTATAATTTTACTGTTTGGTGGGCAAGATGAATTTGCAAAATATACCTCCCTCTAGTGTATACACAGTACATACACTGTACAAAATGTACCTCCCTCTAGTGTAAACATAGTACATACACTGTACAAAATATACCTCCCTCTAGTGTATACAAAGTACATACATTGTACAAAATATACCTCCCTCTACTGTATACATAGTACATACACTGTACAAAATATACCTCCCTCTAGTGTATACATAGCACATACATGGTACATAATATACCTCCCTCTAGTGTATACACAGTACATCCACTGTACAAAATATACCTCCCTCTAGTGTATACATAGTACATACACTGTACAAAATATACCTCCCTGTAGTGTATACATAGTACATACACTGTACAAAATATACCTCCCTCTAGTGTATTCAGAGTACATACACTGTACAAAATATACCTCCCTCTAGTGTGTACATGGTACATACACTGTACAAAATATACCTCCCTCTAGAGTATTCATTGTACATACAGTGTACAAAATATACCTCCCTCTAGTGTATACATCACAGATTACACAGACTGCTCATACACTCTACCTGGATAGGCTGAGCAGGCCTATAGTGTCCCGGCACGCCATGCTAGCTACTGTTCTACGTAATGTTTTTTGACTGGCATCTCACAGCCACTTGTTCCATTCAATTTTACAACTTTTGAAGAAATACTCCAATTAAAAACATACAACATAACGTTTATCAATAATGTCTAATTTTAGAGATTTTGCATTTCCTATTCAAAGGATCCTTAAATATCCCTGAATAGAGATGTCTCCTGATTGGTCGTGTACAGTACTCTGTAACTCTCTTATCTCTGGTATACATAGTACATACACTTTACAAAAACTTGACATGCCAGTATATGGGAAACAAGATATGTTTTGTATTGAAGATAAAAACAAGAATTTGTCAGCAAAATATTTAGAAATTTTTAACCATTTTACGAGTGTGTAATGTGATGAAAATAGGATTGGTTTATTGGAGTGAAAAGAAAGTTACTGGTAGCTTAACATGAAGTTTAGTATAAGTAAAAAACACTAAGCATTTATACTGTACGATTCAGGCAATATGTCCATACATTTATCATAATTCTCATTTTAAACAATAATTTTTCGTAAATATTTACTTTTGTTAGAACCAAACCACTCTATCTTATGGAGGGAGGAGGACAGTAATTGAAAAATTAGACAGATTTATGTAGACCAGTAGAAATATTTTTATGCATATATGTATATTATAAGAAAAAGAACGTGGTAATGCAAAGTAAAAGAATTGTTTATTGTGTAAATCCTATGTATGCTAAATGCAAAGTATAAGAATTGTTTATTGTGTAAACCGTATGTATGCTATAAAATGCAAAGTATAAGAATTGTTTATTGTGTAAATCCTATGTATGCTAAATTCAAATTATAAGAATTGTTTATTGTGTAAACCGTATGTATGCTATCTGGCAACTTTAAAAAAAAGGAAATCCACAAACGAAACCAAAAAAATTTCAAAATAAGAAATTTAGTCTTCTCCACCAACTCAAATTTTCTCGTTTATAAATCTTTGCAATGTGATGGGGTAAACCTTTCATAATTTAAACTTGAATTATTTCAAACAGAATTTATAGTTTGAAATTTCTAAGGTCTACGTCATCGGGTTGCAGAAAATCAGAATTTGTGTCAAAGTCTTAATTCCTTTTGTATTTTTAGGATGTAAAAATAAAATAACGTGTGTTGTTTGGTTCAACAGAAAGCTTTTTCAATACATTAAACATGATTGATGTCTGTTCCATGAACAAAGTACTGCGTGAACCTAGACAAACCTAGAGTAATAATACATCGTTTATCCGCTAATATATCTACTAGATCTTCTGCATGGATTATCTAACCATGCCAAATATATCTTTTATTATTGTTTATTATATTTAGGATTATCATTAACGATACATCTCCGGACTGGGGACCCGCTGGCACATTTATGGGTAAGTTTGGCTTTATATACAGTGAGAATTAGAAAACTGTGAAATGTCGTCTTTTGTTCTAATTTACTTCGCTAAATGTAGGGTGGTAGGTGATTATATCAATGTAATGAAATTTAATTCAAGTTTTAATTGTCCAGAGTTTTTTTATTTGGGCTTTGAGAGAAGACTGGGTTCCAACGTCTTTTTGTAAAATTATCCGTTAATTTGATATAGTTCAGCAAATGTAAAATTTTTAAGAAATACTAGACGATTTTCTATCTTATTTATTAGATTTCTGTCTATCTCTTGAGAAAATGAAGAAAAAAAACACCCTGAATATACAGTAAAAATAAGGCTTTATCGACGACCTGAAACTCTTAGATTTTGGCTGCCTAATGCAGGGTAAAAAGGGAAATGAAAAATATACTGATTTGGTAAAGAACAAATAAGTATCAGAAACCATGCAAGGTTGTTTTAAAAAACCCGTCGTTTTTGAAGTTATCTTTCTACTTCACATGAAACAATGTAAAATGTACACTATTAAAATTTATATCCTGAACCGAAATCATAAAAAAGAGTATTAGTAAGAATAATAAATGGTGGATAATGATTTTTTAGGAAGTTTTATCCTTTAAAGCTTGATGTGATATGATCCATGTCCTAAACAATCTATTAAATCTGAGTGTACGGTTTCTACAGTTTCCGGTATATTGGTATAAATCTAGATACAGATGTACATACTTTATCCGGTCCATGCTGGTATAGATCTAGCTACTTTATCCGGTCCATGCTGGTATAGATCTAGCTACTTTATTCGGTCCATGCTGGTATAGATCTAGCTACTTTATCCGGTCCATGTTGGTATAGATCTAGATACTTTTCCCGGTCCATGCTGGTATAGATCTAGATACTGTATCCGGTCTGCTGGTACAGATCTAGATACTTTTTCCGGTCCATGCTGGTATAGATCTAGATACTTTATCCGGTCCATGCTGGTATATATCTAGATACTTTATCCGGTCTGCTGGGATAGATATAGAAACTGTATCCGGTCTGCTGGTATAGATCTAGATACTGTATCCGGTCTGGTTGTATAGATCTAGATACTGTATCCGGTCTGCTGGTATTGATAGATACTGTATCTTGCTGTATCCGGTCTGGTTGCATAGATCTAGATACTGCATCCTGTCTGGTTGTATAGATCTAGATACTGTATCCTGTCTGCTGGTATAGATCTAGATACTGTATCTGGTCTGCTGGTATATAACTAGAAACTGTATCCGGTCTGGTTTGAGAGACCTAGACACTGTATTGTATCCGGTCTGGTTGTATAAACCTAAATACTGTATTCGGTCTGGTTGTATAGATCTAGATACTGTATCCGGTCTGCTTGTATAGATGTCTAATGTCTTCATGAGCATTAAATAATTTGTCAGTGACCATTAGCTAAAAAGATCCAAATACCCAATTTGGTAAATAAAGAATAAACAGATACAATCTTCTGGTTTTGATATATTATCCTTTGATTCAGATATGCTTTTTGTTTTGGAACAGCATATATTTTGGACCTTTGCGAGCAATTTTTTATTTATTAATTAATAAAAATACAATAAAAAATAAAATAAACATAAAAATAAAAATTATATTAAAAATTCGAAATTAATGAGGTTTATTTTTCATTTTCTCTTTTTAAATATTTACATTTTGCTACTCAAGCTCATTAACGTGTAGGAATTAAACAAAATAGTCGTAAACCCACCCCCCCCCCAAAACAAAACAGTAAACTATGTTTATAATGTTATTATTCACATTTTGACATTGTTTTTTTTTGGGGGGGGGGGGAGAAATCGAAATAACGAAGGTTTCGGTGATAAAAAAGTAAAGCTAATTAATGAAATATCAGTATTTTTTCCCTTATCATATTTTTTTATGACATTTATTTTTAAAAAAATATTTAAATTTAACAAAAAACATTTCAGTCCGATACTTGACTTTAGTAAAAATAAAATTTTTGCTCACACTTCATAATTGATACTCATATTATATTTCAGGTTCTACTAATTTTGTCTCTTCTATGTGGTTGCCAGACATACAGGGATATATTTTAGTTCAATTAATTCCCCCTTTGCTGCATCAAAGGGACTATGAAAAAAAAACTATTTGAATGCCTTGATCAATGAACAGATTAGTACTATTTTGATTCTATCCGGTGGTTCTGTAAAAAGAGTTTTGATTTATCAAATCAAATCAAATCAAATCAAATTAAATCATTTATTTACGAAACACTTTATAAGTTTAATCTCTTATTGATTCATGTTCTGTGTCTGGATCCATGCGATCTTGATTTTCATCCACGCGAGATGAATTCAAATAAACTTTATTTACAGAAATATTATATTAAACTAAAAAGTATGGTCGATTGATTGGCACATCATTATATTTTCCCAGGAATTTTTTTTTAACTATCTTTTTACTATACCTGAAAAGTTAGATTTACCACAGTAAACTGTATCATTGATTCTAAAATGATCCAAGTAACTCTACTTTTTGTAAACAATCGTTTCATCAAAACTGATGGGGTAAACCCTGTTTTTCTATTTGAAAATGTATTATTGTCAAGTAAAGCTCTCTGTAAAAGTGACTTGTTATTTTTGTGACAAAGAAAGGGAAGGGATAAAAAAAATATATTTTTTTGATGGAAAAACGACGATATCTTCTTCTTTTTTACTCGAAAAATGTTTTAAAAGGTACTGTTGTAAACAGAGCGTACAACGCTTAAAATCAAGGATCTCTTAGAAGTATGTCGACAACGTCTAATAATCACATATAGCTTTACATAAGATAATATCTATAGATCTATATGTGCAAACAGTTTAAGAAGAGACAGATTGTTACAGATGTTGCAGGCCTCATCATTTTTAAAAACAGAAAGGTTAGAAAATATCCTTATTCAAGTTCTCCTTGAACTTAAATATCCAGTTTCTTTAAAATTCTTTTGCTAAATTGTCTAATAAAGTGATAAAATCACAGTTTACTGGGAAAAAGACTGAACAGCTAAATTTAAGTGGCTTGAGTAAGCTTCTGGTTGTGTGGTTGTATAACAAGAATATAGAAAATTTAAGAAACAATTGTCAATACAGAAACTGTCTTTCTTCTTTTACATTATATGTAATTTTATGTTACTATAAGTAATATATATGTTACTATATGTTATCATATGTTACTATATGTAATCATATGTTACTATATGTAATCATATGTTACTATATGTTATTATATGTTACTATACGTTACTGTATGTTACTATATGTAATTATATATTACTACATGTTACTACATGTTACTATACGTTATTGTATGTTACTAACGTAATTATATGTTACTATATGTTATAATATGTTACTATACATTACTGTATGTTACTATATGTTATTATATGTTACTATACATTACTGTATGTTACTATATGTAATTATATGTTACTGTATGTTACTGTATGTAATTATATGTGATTATATGTTACTTTATGTTTATATATGTTAATATATGTTACTATACGTTATTACATATAATATAATTATACATAATCATGAAAAGAGGACGTTAAAAACCTTAGAAACTGATATTCTTCTAGCGGTTTTAATATCACATACATGCTTTTCTAATTGTCATTAACGTGTATAGGCTTATTTTATCTTATACCTTTCATCTATGTAATTATAAACACATTACGTTCAATTCAACATAATATTGCATATAAACAGGAAAATTGACAGTTTGATTATAGTTTAAAATGTCGTCTTCCATAATTTGTAAGTTGTTTGATACCAAAAATAATACTAACAAATATTTCAAGGCAGTCATATCATAATGAAATGGATTTCAAAGTGAAATATATTTGAGTATAAGATTTTTTATTAATTAAACTGCGAAAGTGAAAGGTATTCTAAACCATTTATCACCTGTCATGTTTCGTGGAACACCTTTCAATTAAAATTTGTATATACAATATGCAAAGAACAGCACAGTTCCTACAGGGTGTCCCACGAAACATGACAGTATGCAGGACGACTTGAATGTCGTCTTGATTTTTGGATTTAATTTGCTGCGTTTATTTGTCAACCTAATTTTAGAAGTAAATTTCTAGAGATAATAATCACAAAATTTCCCTTGTCCTGCCATTTCCAAAATGTGGTCTGCCTTTTTTGTGCTTTCAATATTGCCCGAGATATGAACAATTTCGTTCAGATTTCGACAATTTTGCTTTTATTTAACAAAATTGAAATCTGAACCAAACTCTTTATATCTCAGGTAATATTGAAAGCACAAAAAACGCAGACCACTTTTTGGAAATGCCAGGGCTAGGAGAATTATGTGATAATTGTTTCAAGAATCATACATGTTAAAGTAGATAGAAAACTAAATGTCACAAATAAATTCAAATACCAAAGACGACTTGAACCTATTGTCATGTTTCGTGGGACACCCTGTACTTTAAAATAGTTCGGTACACAAATCGGAACATAAAAGGACACTAACTACATTTAAATAGGACTTGAATCCTGTATTGCATTAGTTAATAGAAATAACAATACAATACGTGTTATATATGGCAATGAAATTCATAAAAGTAAAAAATGAAAGTTTGTTTGACGAAACAGAGTTTTTTTTCTTTAACATAATTGATTATATTTAAATATCAGATGTTAGAACTCCTATAACTTGTAAACTGTCAATTTTTAATAAAATAATAAGAAATAAAATTTTTAATTTGAAACCTGCTTTCAACAGGTGGAGAAATCTGATCATTCCTAGTTTAATCAAATCTCTTATTTGTTACAACAAGGTAATTGCATTTGCAGTTCTGCATTCACAGCTGTAAAAGTAAAACTTTGTTGCATGCAAAAGCGGTGGAAGTAGAAGTAGAAGTATAAATAGAAGTAGAAGTAGAAGAAGTAGAAGTAGAAATAGAAGTAGAAGTAGAAGTAGCAGTAGAAGAAGAAGTAGAAGTAGAAGTAGAAGTAGAAGTAGAAGTAGATGTAGAAGCGGAAGTGGAAGTGGAAGTTGAAGTAGAAGTTGAAGTAGAAGTAGAAGTAGAAGTAGAAGTAGAAGTAGAAGTAGATGTAGAAAAGGAAGTACGTGAAAGTAGAAGTAGAAGTAGAAGTAGAAGTAGAAGTAGATGTAGAAGTAGAAATAGAAGTGGAGTAAAAGTGGAAGTAGAAGTAGAAGTGGAAGTAGAAGTGGAAGTAGAAGTGGAAGTAGAAGAAGAAGTAGAAGTAGAATTGGAAGTGGAAGTAGAAGTGGAAGTAGAATTGGAAGCAGAAGTGAAAGTAGAGGAGTAGGAGGAAGTAGATTTGCTGGTGGCAAAAGTAGATTAAATGAAGCTATATATAGTCGAACCACGTAAGCTAAGATGAACCACTTTCTTCAACTTAAACCAGCGTACAAGAGAGCAGTTCAACAATCAAGGTACAATATCCTAATAGGTTTTAAAGCTATGTTTTAAGTTATATCTTCCATGGTGCTGCTGAACAAAACAAAAAAGAACAGAACAAACGTGTTTTTAACCTCAAATATCTAAGCGAACTTTTTCTACTATCATCGTTTTTACATAAAGTTGAAAATATTGTCGAATTACTGGGATATTGAGTCTTTGCTGCAATATCAAATTTGATATACCCATATCTTTGCAACTTGATGGTTTACATCTTACATTGGGTTGCAAAGATAAACGGATTAGAATATCAGAGTTTGTGGCAAATTCCTTTTTGATAGAATACTGTAAATGTGGTTGACAAGAAACGAAGAGAACACCTCTTCTATTAAAAGAAATAATCAAAAAACTGTTTTTGTTTCTGGTATTGTAATTATTTCTGGTCTGCAATCGTTTCTAGTTCTGTATTGTTTCTAATTCTGAATTATTTCTAGTTCTGTATTGTTTCTAGTTCTGTATTGTTTCCAGTTCTGTATTGTTTCTGGTTCTGTATTGTTTCTGGTTCTGAATTGTTTCTTGTTCTGTATTGTTTCTTGTTCTGTATTGTTTCTGGTTCTGTATTGTTTCTAGTTCTGTATTGTTTCTGGTTCTGAATTGTTTCTTGTTCTGTATTGTTTCTGGTACTGCAATTGTTTCTAGCACTGTAATTGTATCTGGTAATGTAATTGTTTCTAGCACTGTAATTGTTTCTGGTATAGTGTTATTGTTTCTGGCACTGTAATTGTTTCAGAATGTAAGCTTTTGACATTTTTTAGAATTATTATAAATTAAATTTTGGTAGAATAAACTCAAAATATCTAGAATTACAATAAATCTTCCTTTCACATTCAACTCCTTACTTTACCATTTTTTGCAAAGAATAAATAGAAGTGTTTATGAAGAAAACTGTTTCAGATAAAATAAAATAGTATTTTAAAGGATGATTGTCTCTTTTAGGAAGGGGAAGTTGGTTAAAGGAAGGTATCATGAATATAAAAAGAGAATATATTGGATATTATTATACAACTATGTGATATTTGGTTGGTTAAGGGAAGGTATCATGAATATAAAAAGAGAATATATTGGATATTATTATACAACTTTGTGATATTTGGTTGGTTAAAGGAAGGTATCATGAATATAAAAAGAGAATATATTGGATATTATTATACAACTCTGTGATATTTGGTTGGTTAGAATTTAATTTAAAATTTTCACCCAATAGTTGTTAAAAAATAAAACCATATTTCGCTCAATTTCTCGTAATTGGTTTTTGGTTTGGACTAAACTCTTATTTATTTCAGCTTAAATAAAAAAGTTAATTTTCTTTTATGAAGGTTTTAAATTTAGATTAAATCTTAACTTTGATTTTATTCAATCCTGCAGCTTTAGTTTAAGCTCTCAATAGCAAAGTTTGCAAAAAATTAATTGAAAATTGATGAAAACGGGAATCTTAAACAATTTGTTTTCAATGAAAGGAATTGAGTTTTTGCCACACACTCAAATTTTCTAATCCCTATATATTTGCCACCTGATGGTGTTATCCTTTGATATTTCAAACTTAGATTATTTGAACTGACAGAATTTATAGTTTGAAATATTTAAGGTCTACGACATTGGGCTGCAAAGAAATAGGGATTAAAATAAAAAAAAACATAGTTTGTGACAAAGACTCAAATCTTTTTTTTTACCAATTGTTGCAGAATTTTTAGGTTTTATTTTTATTATTAACTGCTTATCTGTTTTCTTAAAAATAATAACTTGTGTGTTTTCTTAATAATATTGATGATGTTTTTTATCAATTAAATCAAAGAAAAACACTTAATGATAAAAGCCGGAAAAATGAAAATATACATTCAGAGTTTTTTTGCGAGTTGGGTTGAGTTGGGTTAGGTTGGGTTGGGTTGGGTTGGGTTACAGATTTATCGATAAAAAATGAAAAACTTTGTTTATCCTACAAAACCTTAAACCTGAACTGATGCAGTTCACCTCATTTCGTTATAAAAGTTTTCTTTCCATATTCTCGGTGAGAATATTTATCTGGCAGAAATTAGAAAGTATTTGCATAAAACAAACAGTTAGGTTTCTAGGAAATCAGTCATTTTTCCGGGAAAACTATCCTTTTTATAGAAAACCATTTATTTTCTAGGAAACTACTAACTAGTCAGTTTTACAGGAAACCACTTAGTTTACCAGGAAACCAGTTAGTTTTTCAAAAACTATGTAGATAATTTTCCAGGATAACAATTAGTTTACCATGAAGCTAGTCAGTTTTACAGAAAGCCACTTAGTTTACCAGGAAATTAACCAGTTAGTTTACCATGAAGCTAGTCATTTTTACAGAAAGCCACTTAGTTTACCAGGAAACTGAAACTAACCAGTTAGTTTTCCATGAAGCTAGTCAATTTTACAGAATGCCACTTAGTTTACTTGGAAACCAACCAGTTAGTTAACCATGAAGCTAGTCTGCAGCTTTTTAAGAAACCGCTAAGTTTACCAGGAAACCAGTTAGTTTACCCGAAAACTATTTATTTTTTCACAGGAAATATGTTAGTTTTCCAGGAAACCAGTTAATTAAGAAAATAGTTAGTTTTCCAGAAAACTACATATGTAGTTAATTTTCCAGAAAGCTACATACGTAGTTAGTTTTACAGAAAACCAGATAGTTTACCATGAAGCTAATCAGTTTTACAGAAAACCAGATAGTTTACCATGAAGCTAATCAGTTTTACAGAAAATCGCTTAGATTTATGTAAGCTATAGCTGACCACACGGCTGGACTGAATGGACTGAAATTTGTTGATGGAACCCATGGGTGCCCGGGGAGTAACATAGGCTAAAAATTTAAACATTCTTTTTCTTCAAAAATCGATTTTTTAAAATTCAAAATCTTTTTTTCCACGGGCAACGCCGGGCAACTCAGCTAATTAACAATAAAACAAGTTTTTAGGCTGTCCTAATACGTCATAGTAGAACATAAGCAAACGCTAATCCCCCCTTGTTATTTCTGCACCTCCTACGGTCCTACCTGTAGTGTGAGAAATGAGGGTAACCCTATACCAAAGATTTTTGTTGTTGTAAATGCTTTCTATATTTACATTGCGATACTGAATACAAGATACTTGATTGATGGATTACAATATATTGACTACTAGGGGTTAGGCTGGATATACAACTGGGGAGAATATAATTTCTCTTTTCATTTTACCAAAATTAATTTATTCAAAACCTTTCTATCTACAAACTAGAAAACAATGTTGGAATTTAATATCTATGCAAATTGTTTCAGTCTATCTAGGTATAAATCCTCCCCCCTCCCCACCCTTAGCTCTTATATTAGATTTTCCAAAATCAATTAGAAATTATATTTCTATTCTTGAAAATCACGTGATTACAAATTACAATTTAGGAAAAATTTAGAGGAGCGTTTTGAATCTATAGTTGAAGGATCACTTCACGTTAAACCAGAGGTTTTGGTTAAAAGTGCAGTTAGCTTAGATCTTATTTATGTTATGTTATGTTAGCTTAGATCTCATTTATGTTATGTTATGTTAGTTTAGATCTTATTTATGTTATGTTATGTTAGTTTAGATCTCATTTATGTTATGTTATGTTAGTTTAGATCTCATTTATGTTATGTTATGTTAGTTTAGATCTCATTTATGTTATGTTATGTTAGTTTAGATCTCATTTATGTTATGTTATGTTAGTTTAGATCTCATTTATGTTATGTTATGTTAGTTTAGATCTCATTTATGTTATGTTATGTTAGTTTAGATCTCATTTATGTTATGTTATGTTAGTTTAGATCTCATTTATGTTATGTTATGTTAGTTTAGATCTCATTTATGTTATGTTATGTTAGTTTAGATCTCATTTATGTTATGTTACATTAGTTTAGATCTCATTTATGTTATGTTATGTTAGTTTAGATCTCATCAAACGTCTCTCTATTTAAAATTGATTTTTAGTATTCTTCCTTTTGTACATTTTGTACATTTTGTACGGATTATGCAGATGCGTAGTAACAAAATATATGCAGCTTTTAAAATAGTTATAAACTTGTTCTGTTCTTGTTTGAGAATGGGAAGTACGCCTTGAAAGAAAAATGGGGGGTTTTGTTCAGATTCATTTTTCTTTTTTGAATAAGATTTCATCTTTTACGATTAATCCTATCAAGTCATATTTTTCTTTAAATGTTTCTTCTTTTAAACATTCTAATATATTCACGTTTTAACTTTTATATTTTTAACCCTTTTTATATTTTATAGAAAAAGGTAACACCTTTTAAGGTTTTTTTAATTCTGTCAATTTTAGATCGGTAGCATGGATTAAAAAAATAATTCAAAATAAAAATCGTTTAAATTACTTAACTCTCGAGAATTTTCACGAAACAATAATTTAATAGAATTTATAGATACTAGAAATTCAAGGCGCTTCGCGCCCATCTTCTATTTAAATTAGGAACATGTTCGAATTGTTTACATTTCAAAACAAAGATGAAAAAAGTTTTGCGGATTTTTAAAAAAAAATTCGCGGATTTTCAAAAATTTAAATTTTTTTACAAAATTAAAAACCTCTTAAACACAAATTTTTAAAATTTCAATCATTCATAAACCTTCCCTGGGGTCCTTAGATGTCCCACAAAAAATTTGGTCCCGATCGGTTCAGCCGTTTTGACGTTTATTGGATACAAACAGACAGACAAACAAACAAACAGACAAGCCAAATTTATATATAGATGATGTAAATTAATCAAAATCGGAATTGAAGTTTTTTCTCTTTTACATGTCCTGTCTCGCAAATGTCTCATCCATGAAATTTATTTTATGAATCATCCAGGATTCTGTTCATGAAATTTCCTATCTACTTAAGTCCTAACTATGAAATTAAATATATAATAAAGTCCTAACTATGAAATTTCCTATCTACTTAAGTCCTAACTATGAAATTTCCAATTTACTAAAGTCCTAACTAAGAAATTTCCAATTTACTAAAGTCCTAACTATGAAATTTCTTATTTACCAAAGTCCTAACTATGAAATTTACTATATATTAAAGTCCTAACTATAAAATTGACCATATGCTAAAGTCCTAACTATAAAATAGACTATATACTTAAGTCCTGACTATGAAATTGACTATACACTAAAGTCCTAACTATGAAATTTTTTATTTACCAAAGTCCTAACTACGAAATTTACTTTATACTAAAGTCCTAACTATAAAATTGACAATATACTTAAGTCCTGACTATGAAATTGACTATACACTAAAGTCCTCACTATGAAATTTCCTTTTTACTAAAGTCCTTACTATGAAATTAACTATATACTGAAGTCCTAACTATGAAATTTCTTATTTACTAAAGTCCTAACTATATGATTGCAAGGATGGGAGGGAACCCTCCCTGATTGATTGCAAGGATGGGAGGGAACCCTCCCTGATTGATTGCACGGATGGGAGGGAACCCTCCTAGATGATTGCAAGGATGGGAGGGAACCCTCCTAGATGATTGAAAGGATGGGAAGGAACCCTTCTTGATTGATTGCAAGGATGGGAGGGAACCCTCCTTGATTGATTTCAAGGATGGGAGGGAATTTGTAAAATAGAAGAAGAGAATCCCGAATATTTATTTATTGAAAGAAGTGATGAGGGTTCACTTATATTGGTGAAGAATAGACCAAAATACAAAGTAAACTTAATCAACCCTACAATTGTTTTTCTTCAGATGTCAGGAGATTCTTCACTCTGATAGATAGATAAATGGATCTTTACACATTTTATTGATTTTCATTTTTATCACCGATGATTTTCGATTTTTAGTATACCTAGGTACTGCACATTTTACTATATCTGTAGTATAATACTTAAGTAATGCATACTGTACTATATCTAGGTACTGGACATTGTGCTATATCTGTAGTATACCTAGGTACTGTATAGTGTACTATATCTGTACTATATCTAGTTACTGCATATTGTACTATATCTGTACTATACCTAGCTACTGTATACTGTACTGTATAATGTACTATATCTGTACTATACTTAAGTACTGTATAGTGTACTATATCTGTACTATACCTAGGTACTGTATAGTGTACTATATCGGTACTATACCTAGCTGCTGTATATTATACTATATCTGTACTATATCTAGGTACAGTATAATGTACTATATCTGTACTAAATCTAGGTATTGCATATTGTACTATATCTGTACTATACCTAAGTTCTCTAACTGTACTAGATCTATACTAGATCTAGGTACTGTATACTGTACTATATATGCAGTATATCAAGGTCCTGTACACTGTTCTGTATACTGTATATCTAGGTATTGTATAGTGTACTATATCTGTACTATACCTAGGTACTGTACACGGTATCAACTGAGGTTATACTGGCCTGTCCTATGAAGTTTAGCGCCTACCCTCTGGACCATCAGACCTGCAAGTTTCTGGTATGTATTATCACACATGTAGATATTTTTAACATCTTGTTATTTAGGAAGCATAACAGATAGATATTGGATAGTGTGTATGCTTACAGTTATAAAACAAATAAAATGCTCGCACTCTTTATGTGCATGCACAGAGATCTATACAGCAATGAATATTATCAAATTTCAAGACCGAACTCAACTTTTTTAACAACTCACGTAAAATTTTTTTTTTTGCCTGAGAACTGTAAATTGAAGAACTGAGAACGTGTTTGCAGTTTAATTCACTAATCACTATGCGCGCTGAATTCACTCTCATTTTTGCAGAATTTTGATTTACCGAATTACAACAAAATTGTTGTTTGTGTAGACTAATTTATCAGGTTTTTTTGTAGTAAATACTAGCTGTAGACCATTTATTTATACTATCTGGTGTAGTATGATACAGCAGAGATTTTGAAATTATAGAAAAAAAAATTTATTTAGATTATTAGTTTCTATTTTCTCATTATTCACAAAGATTTTCTGGAATTATTAAAAAAAGACGACATTTGAAGAATTTCAAGAAATCTGCGAATAAATTCAAAGAAAATAAGAAATTCAATATAATGATATAATAATTGATTCTAGCATTGATTTATTGACAGAAATATGTTCCCAACCATCTCATTAGTTTACTGCATAATTTTTACTTAATTTTTCGTCGTCGTTAGTTAGTAATTTAAAAAAACCGATTCTGAAAACGTATCCATCTCCAAAGTAGGAGTTTTGAAGGAAGAGGTTTCCTCACTTCGTTAACGATCGTTAACGACGACCCTTCGTTAATGATCGTTAACGAAGCATCTGTACTTATCATTGAGTAGTTTTTAAGAAAATATCAAGAAAGTTTAGCTCCCCCACAACTTTTTAACTTCATGTAAGACGATCGACATTCAATAAAGTTGCATGTAATTTTTTTGTCAAAAAACGGTCGTTTTTCCAAAAACGACCGTTAAAGTTCGTCTTTTCGTTAACGATCGTTAACATAATTGTCAATAATTTTTTTTCAAAAACAATCGTATAAAAAATGGTCACAAATCGTTTTTAAAAATAACGAACGTTATTCGTTTTCTAAAAGTTCAAAACGATTGAGAACGAAACAAAAAACGACCGTTTAACAATCGTTTTCAAAAACGATTAACAACCCTAAGGGCAATGTATAAAGGAAGAAGTAAAGCATGGCAATGTACAAAGGAAATGGGAATATAGGGGGCAATGTATAAAGAAAAAGGTTAAGATAGGCAATGCATTAAGGCAAGGTTTTAAACAGGGAGAAATAAAAGGCTTTACGAGGAATGTTTTAGGAAAAATGTTTAATAGTGTATACACATAATATTAATACATGAGTTGATCCAAGCTTAAGTCTTGAAAGCTCAGCAAAAAGAGATTCATCTTAATATATATATTAGATGTCTTAAAGGCTAAAGCTAAACATAGGATTAGGTTAAATAAGCTTATTTATCCAAACTGTCCTAATTGGATACTTTTAATCAGTAACTCCTTTTTTGTTTATTACTAATCAAATAATTTAACTATTTATGACAGTTCCTTCCCTAATTATAATTTATAATTTTTGACAACAAACAAAGAAAAGGCACATTAAGGGTGTGTTATGGTAATAAACGATGATCAAAATTGAAAAATAGAATTGTACAAAATTAATATAGAAAAAAATATTATTGTTATTTTCACAAAAATGTTGTTTTCAAGAAGTCTAGTTTTAACACAGTATTTTTCAAATCTGCTTTATTTTTGAATTGTTGTATTTCAAGCAAAGCAAGGCTTAATTTTAGATCATCAATACGTTTACTGACTAGAAACAGAACCAGAAACCCGGTAAACACAAAACAGAAACCCGGTCAGAACAAAACACAAAATGCGGTCAACACAAAACAGAAACCCGGTCAACACAAAACAGAAACCCGGTCAGAACAAAACACAAAATCCGGTAAATACAAAACAGATTCCGGTCAACACAAAACAGAAACCCGGTCAACACAAAATAGAAACCGAAACAAAACCAAACAGAAACCGGAACAAGACAAATTAAAAACCGGAAAAAAACTACACACAAACCGGAACAAAACAAAACAGAAACCCAAACAAAGCAAAAGAGAAACACGAACAAAGCAAAACAGAAACCCGAACAAACAAAAACAGAAACCCGAACAAAGCAAAACAAAAATCCAGAAAAAAACAGAAAGTCATACTCGAAAAAAAATTCTTAATCAATTATCTGTTATCCGTTCTGTTCCTAAAAAATGAATATTTTACAATAAATTAAATTTGCATACTTTTACATGGTTGATTTTCTTTTTGATGTTTTATTTGAAATGTTAAACATTTTAACATGAAAATGTGGGAATCATTGAATCTAAAATCTGGGTGATATGCTTTCCTGAAGAGAATATTGGAGATATTGTCGTTTTTCTAGGTTTAAAAGTGTATATTTTTGTCAATTCCGCCTAGTTTTTCTGAAGTGTAAATGTGCAATTTACTTTTGCAAAGAAATCACAATTTTAATGGTATTGTTGTGAATCGGGCATTGTCATCTCTGGATAGAGATTAGAGGGCCACTTTAAGTTAAGCTTTAAGTACCTTTAATTCAATATAGTCGGAACATCCAGAGGAGCAACTAGCACACTTCTACCGATTTAATTAGTGGAATTCACAAGATGAAAACGTTGGCAACGGTGAAAAAAAATTCCGATAAGATTTGAAATTCAAAGATTTCATACTAAAGCAATTCTACGCCCAGTTTCGAATCAAAAATTACCCCAGTTGCGCTTCATTGAACATCTGATATCAGCGTACCGACGTTTTTATAACAAATATATTAGCTTAGAGTCCTCGCTTGTTGCAAAGCATATGGGTATCTTGATATGGGTGATATGAAATTTCCTGTTGATCACTGCTTAACAAAACGACTTGGGGAAAAATATTTGATTGAATTAATTTCCTCTTTACCATTGATTAGTGGATTTTGCACTGTAAAGAAAAATAGATATATCGATATATTTTAATGTAAAATCTATGAATTTTCAAATTTCAGCAGTCTTTGGGTTCTAACGAACTCTTCTTATTAATATAATCCATCTGATCTTGGTTTAGAAGAATAAAGAAGTTTGATGGCCAGAATAAAATAGTCTCTGTGAACATTTGTTTTGGAAACATTTTGTGGAAATGTGTTTGGGCAGGACGGACGTATTAAAAGAAATTCGTCACCGAAATATCTTACAGCCTACAGAAAACATTTGGTGGAGAACTAAAGAATAAATATAAAATAAATGTTGTTTAAAGGGACTGTGTCGGAATCTCAAGGGGGGTGTCAGATTCAAACCGGTAATTTTAACCTTTGTCTTCACTCTGGGCCGTAGTAAATTTCAATTCGAACAGGACCTGCCGAGTTTGTACCGGCCTGCCAGATAACAGCGTGTACTGACTCTGACCCGATCCTATGACCATATTTTGTACAGTACGTCGCCCTAACCAGACTAACATACGACAGGGGTCAATTTTCTTGGCCTAGTCTTGTCGGAGGGCTAACCATGACAACTCCCATGGCGCGTTCAGACTTTTTACAATACCCGGCCTAATCCTAGACCTATTTGACCGACCACAATGGCTTAGTTTACTGTGTCTTATCAAGAATGAATGAGGTTTCCAGGTCTCTGATTTGAATATTGATTTTGTAGATTTCTGTTTAAAGAAACAAAAGAGAAAACTTGTCTTTAACGGAGAACCTTACCTTCTTTCATATCATTGATTCTTGATTCTCACTGTTTTATCTAAAACTGTGGTATTGGGGTCTGGGGGAATATTCCCAGTCCCCCCTCCAAAACTAGTACATTATAGTACATAAAAACAATTGCTTGGCTCGACTTTATTTTTAATTAAATTTTTTAGAATTGGTAATATTTTAATTTTAATTAAGGGTTGTTGGCGTTAGCACACACATACAAAACATATTACAATATATATCAGTAAACCTGTTTCCACTTTGTGTTTGAAGTTTTTCTATTTTTTCTAATTAAATAACTGCAGAATGTCTTGGTTCCTAAAGTCACCAATATGACCAGAATTTTGTGTGGAATATCCTTAACCTTGAATGCTTGATCTCGATATCCAATGATCGAACGATAAAAAGAGAAAACCCTTTGTTTAAACAAAAGAAAGAAAACCAATGGTCAACAATTTTACATTCTATGACGTACAGACCCTTGCACCCTGCAGACCCTTTCAAGTAAGAAATAATTAAAAAGGCTTCATTTCTAAAAAGGCAATTAAGAAGTAAAAAAAAACAATATGTATTTCCAATGAGGGTGCTATCTCTCCAAGAATTAATTATCCGAACCATCTCTAGAGAAATTAATTAATTAAATAAATTATAGCTACCTCCCAGAGAGAAACCAAAAATAAGAATTGATAATTAGATATTGATATATTCATTATACATTTACATAGAACAGCTATACATTATACATTTACATAGAACAGATATACATTATACATTTACATAGAACAGATATACATTATACATTTACATAGAACAGATATACATTGTATATTTACATAGAACAGATATGCATTATACATTTACATAGAACAGATATACATTGTACATTTACATTGAACAGATAGCTTTAACAAAATATTTGGACTTTTATTTATTTACGTTTTAATTCTGGTATTTAAGTTGTTTATTTACTGGTTCTCTTGTAAATCATTACGTTTTTGTTTTTGTGCAATTGTTTCGTCATGGTTATATTGCAATCTTTTACGTCCTAATTCTCTTGTGATCGTTTCTGTCCTAGTTTTCGGGTAATTGTTTACGTCCTAGTTCTCTTGAAATTGTTTACGTCATATTTCTCTTGATTGTTTCTGTCCTAGTGTTCTTATAATTGTTTGCGTCCTAGTTGTCTTGAGATTGTTAACGTCCTAGTTCTTTTATAATCGTTAACATCCTCGTTCTGTTATAATTGTTTAAGTCCTAGTTCTGTTATAATTGTTTACATCCTAGTTCTCTTATAATTGTTTACGTCCTAGTTCTGTTATAATTGTTTACATCCTAGTTCTGTTATAATTGTTTACGTCCTAGTTCTCTTATAATTGTTTACATCCTATTTCTGTTATAATTGTTTACGTCCTAGTTCTGTTATAATTGTTTACGTCCTAGTTCTCTTATAATTGTTTACATCCTAGTTATCTTATAATTGTTTACGTCCAAGTTCTGTTATAATTGTTTACGTCCTAGTTCTGTTATAATTGTTTGCTGATTAAGTCCTAGTTCTGTTATAATTGTTTGTTGTTTACGTCCTAGTTCTGTTATAATTGTTAGCTAATTAAATCCGAGTTCTGTTATAATTGTTTGCTGTTTAAGTCCTAGTTCTCTTATAATTGTTTACGTCCTAGTTCTCTTATAATTGTTTACGTCCTAGTTCTCTTATAATTGTTTGTGTCCTAGTTCTCTTACAATTTTTTACTCTCCTAAACCTGATTATAAAGGTGTAAAGAATGTATTGAGAAAGAAGTAAACAAGGTTGAATAGAAAATATAACCTACCACACTTTTTCATCAAGCAAAGGAAGCAGATTATTTAATGCTTGAAGAAGTATGCTTGATTCCTTATTTAGAATGTCAAAGCTGTCTACCTACACACTACTTACTGCATTGCAGCAAGCTGAAAACAGATTTATACTGATGCAGTCATTCAAAGAAATCCACACATTGCAAGGTTTTCCAATAAACATGAGAAATAAGTTTAGTTTAACTCGTTATTGATCCATATCCCAAAAACATTTTACTAATACATTCAATTGCCTTGGGGAATGGATTTCCCAAATGTGGTTTTGTCCTGATATTAATTAGTTAAAAAAACTAAGATTTTCTAAATATTGATTATCTATTAGCTATGTATAAAACGAGGATAAACCCCACTTTAATGTCTTTCATTATTAAAGATTTAAGTCGTGGTTTAGTTCTGATGTTTATTTACAATTTGTTTTATAAAGGAAATCTAGTCAGAAGTGAACTTTTTTATGCAAAATAGTGCTTGACCTAAACGCTTGACATCGATATACACTGTGACAGCTTTTAAATTTAAGTTGTGTTATCTCTTCATTTTAGTAATCCTTGCAAGTTCATCGAAAGAAATTAATTAAATCTGTAGGTCTTCTTGATCCAGGGATTCAAAATTCAAAAGTTTTGACCTCTAAGTCAAAAGAGAGTATTGGTAAACAAAACTCCCAAGTTACCTTCTTGGGGTCTATATATTTGCGTAGCTTTTAATTTTAGTAATGAGAAAACAAAACTCCCAAGTTACCTTCTTGGGGTCTTTATATTTGCGTAGATTTTAATTTTAGAAATGAGAAAACAAAACAAAACTCCAAAGTTACCTTCTTGGGGTCTTTATATTTGCGTAGATTTTAATTTTAGAAATGAGAAAACAAAACAAAACTCCAAAGTTACCTTCTTGGGGTCTTTATATTTGCGTAGATTTTAATTTTAGAAATGAGAAAACAAAACAAAACTCCAAAGTTACCTTCTTGGGGTCTTTATATTTGCGTAGATTTTAATTTTAGAAATGAGAAAACAAAACAAAACTCCAAAGTTACCTTCTTGGGGTCTTTATATTTGCGTAGATTTTAATTTTAGTAATGAGAAAACAAAACAAAAAATGTAAAGAAACCACATGAAATAATAGTTCTTTAATCAAATATTGGTATCTACAAAACTCCCTGACTATATCCATGAAACTTGGATTCCTATACGTGTTTCATTACAATATTTAGTTTTACTCTACACTAATGTTTTCTAATCTTTAGACTCAGATGTACTGGCCAACTTGTTCAGACAGGACAAAAATTAACAATCTCATTTGTAATTCTGATAAACTCTTCTGCTTTTATAAAAAAATCTTGAAATACGCCAGGATATCATTAAACAAAACTGAATTAAATGAAAGAAGAATTTTAGACTTGTATTCATACTGTACCATTTTCTAACCAGTCTGTTTTGTACAAACTAGACTTGTATTCATATTGTACCAATTTTTAGCCAGTCTGTTTTGTACAAACTAGACTTGTATTCATACTGTACCAATTTCTAACCAGTCTGTTTTGTACAAACTAGACTTGTATTCATATTGTACCAATTTTTAGCCAGTCTGTTTTGTACAAACTAGACTTGTATTCATTCTTTAGCAATTTTTAATCAGTCTGTTAGGTACAAACTAGACTTGTATTCATGCTGTATCAATTTTTAACCAGTCTGTTTTGTACAAACTAGACTTGTATTCATGCTGTAAACCAATTTCTCACGTGGCATAATTTTGACCGATTTTGTTGAACCTCCCAAGAATTAGATCTTCTTGCCACTGTAGTTTCTGTAGAAAGAAGTAAATATTTCCATTAACTGTTAGAGCCGTTGTCTGAATACGTTCAAAACTGTTAAACTAATTTTGACCTATGCTACCCGCGGGATACTGAAGGGTTCTCTGATCAAAAAAAATCAGCTGATTTGGTTTAGCCGTTCGGCCAGCTATAGCTAACATATATATATATTTCTTAGCTGTAGCAGGCCAAATTGTTGGACAAAATGGAATAAGTATATATGAGGAAACCCAAGGGTACCGCGGGGGAGCCATAGGCTAATAACTCTGTTTTTAACTTGTTTTCAAAACCTGGGCAACGGTGGGTACTCCAGTTAGTTTACAATAAAATTCTGGTTATTATAGTGTATCCTTCTGTAGGCTAAATGATGATGTTTTCAATTAAAAAGTGCTCGTTAGAAAGATAATTAACGACCTCTGACAAACATGATTCTCCTAGAAATAAATAAATTGTTTCCCATTTTCTATTTTTCTTTTTTTTTCAAAAACTTGAAGTTTAATTGAAGCGTTTCTACCGAGAAACTTATTACAATTCATATTCCGCTTTATGCATGATGCAACAGATATGATCGAATTTATAGGAGTGGGGGGGGGGGGTCAGGTTTTAAAAAATTAAGAATTTTTTACTTTTAAAGGGCTTCGCACAAATCAGAGAATTTGGTTAATATCTTTAATTACAGAAGTTATTCATAATTTTCATAATCCATCAATTAATAATTTGAAATACTTATAGGTCAGTCACATTAGGTTGCACGGATATTAGGATTATAAAATTATAGTTTGAGCCCCCACTCATCAAATACTTCTTAAACTGTTTATTATGTTTCTCGAAAGAGCAAGGGAAATAAAATGTTTAAAATATACATTATAATAATAATAATCTTTTTGCCAAGTGCTTTATATTATGTAATTTGATATAAATCCTTTCAAATAATTAATTATTTAAGCCTCAAAAAATAATTAAAAAGTTAATTATATAATATTAAAAAATCAATTTTGTTAATTTTACTGCTTAATTAAAACAGTTGAAAACAAACATAACCACCCATAGAAATAAAAGTAGAATAAAACAACTTGTTGAATTTCATTTTATAAGACTCAGCGTTGCCCAGGGTTTTCATAGTTACTCCCGCTATTTACCCGCGCTTGGTCGTAAATTACGATTTTAGCTATTTTTTCCACACAAGTGGACCCACTCAACTTAGAATCTCAAAACTATCGTTCCCGTGGGTCTCCCGAGTTCTCCAATCAAATAGGTCAATTGGTTCCTGGGTTATGATCGGACATCCAAACAAACAAATAACCAGAGATTACAACTTTATTATAAGACATTGTGTGGTTGAATCTAAGATTCACAAGAAAATAACTGATGCCGTAGACTTTTGACATTTCAAACTAGAATTATACTATATCTGAAAGTCAGGATTTAAAATGTGTAGATACGCTTACCATTTTGTTGCAAAGACATAGTTATTAACAAATTATAGTTTAGTTCCTTTTTAAGAATTAGAATTATAGTTTAGTTCCTTTTAAGAATTTGAATTATAGTTTAGTTCCTTTTAAGAATTAGAATTATAGTTTAGTTCCCTTTTAAGAATTAGAATTATAGTTTAGTTCCTTTTAAGAATTAGAATTTTAGTTTAGTTCCCTTTAAGAATTAGAATTATAGTTTAGTTCCTTTTAAGAATTAGAATTATAGTTTAGTTCCTTTTTAAGAATTAGAATTATAGTTTAGTTCCTTTTTAAGAATTAGAATTAGATTTTGGGATGAACTTTAAAATATAACTTTAGAACTCTGTCATTTAACGTGTTAAACGTGACCGGAGAATGACAGTATAGACTTTTATATCATAATTCATTTCACCATTATTTGAAGGGCACCCTAATCTCAAGTAAACATCCATTCAAAGATGGCAATACCCGATTCACAACGGTACTCTTGAAACCTTTAGCTGATAAATAAGATGGAAGATATTAACGTTTTCCTAGGTTTAAAAGTGGTTGAATCTGATAATTCCTATATGTTTTCCTGCAGTAGAAATGCGCAAGTCACTTTTGTAAAGAAACCTCAATTGAAAGTAATCATTTAATTATATTCATTGATATCTAAATCATACTTAATCAGACAAAGCTTCTAATGGTATCATAGTGAATCGGAAATTAACATCTTTGTATGAAGATTCCAGGGTCACTTAAAATCCTTTTTATAATTTACTTTCTACTAATAGAATATAAAACATCTCTGCTTTCAGGTTGGAAGTTATATACATGATGATACTCAAATATATTTTACAGGTTAGTTTCAGACGTTTCAAAATAAATTTTAGACACTTGTGATAACATTCCCAGAAAATTTTTAAAAAAAGGGAAAAAAACCATCACAATGGCAATTTTGGTTTCATTTCAAATTTATTTTTAATTACTCCCTAGTCCTTTTGATAATTAGTCTTTTTAAACTCCAATGACTATTTAGTTTTTCGTGGAAGAGGTTTCCTATTTTAGAATTTTACTTTTCAAATCTTCGCACTTTTTGGAATCTTGAAAGTTATGAAATTACTTTGAAAGAAAAATATTATTAAACGCCATATAAACAGTAAATAGAAATTGGATCAAGAGATTATTCAAACATGTGAGGTCAAGCAGACTGAATTGAATAAAAATGAAGTTAACAAAAGCTAGATCAAATCAAAGAAATGATAAATCTTTAGATAATTGCATAGGAAGTGATTCTTTAACACAAACTCTAATTTATTTTCTAACCCTAATATCTTTGTTGTAGACCTTAGATATTTCAAACTATGAGTTCTGTTAGATCAAATAATATAGGTTTGAAATAGCATAGGTTTAAATGATCAGGTTGCATGATAAGATATAGGGACTAGAAAATTTTAATTTGTGGCAAAGACTCAATTCCTTTTGTATCCATTTCTTGACCTGTTCCACCTTAAAGTTTTGCAATCCCTTGGCCTTTTGGTTTACATTCTTTACTCATTACTAATTAACACTGGTTTGTGTATTAATTCGCTTTATTTCCTGCTTTTTATCTGCTGCATAAATCGGTAGACAATAAGTACTTTTTATAGTAAAAAGAACAATAAAAAATGATCGACTATCAGACAGAAATAGAAAATATCTTCTTAAACTTTTCTACGAGGAAGGGTTAAATGGAGCAAAGTTATGAATATGGAATATGCAAGTTGAAACTCTTTAATTTAAGGGTCATATGAAATTATATGAAAAGTCCCTTTAATGCTTTATATCACTTGAACTTACATGAACAGTCCCTGTATTGCTTTATATTTACTTTAAATTACATGAACAGTCCCTTTAATGCTTTATATCACTTAAAATTACATGAACAGTCCCTTTATTGCTTTATATCACTTGAAATTACATGAACAGTCCCTTTATTGCTTTTTATTTTTTTTTCTGAATCTATAAAAGCTTTGTTGTGGGTTTACAGATATTCATGCATAAATGGGTTCTCCTGAGTCCCAATAAGTCTAATATATTTTATCTTTGTATTCAACATTCAACAATATCCAAAGTAATGCAAACAACTCACCAAACATTAAATGTATGTCCTTTGTCAAGAAAACTTTTCATCAAGAAATACAATTCCCAGGGGGGATGATAGTTCTCTACCTGTGTGCTCAGTTAGCTGTACTGTTGTTTCGCTACTTAGCGATTTCCCTAAAGACCTAATATATAGAAATAGAATCATGAAACATTTTAATGACATTTTTTTCGTGCATTACCATTTAAAAATACTTTTTGCTGAAAATTCTACATTAATAACCTATAGAGAGATATTCCATTTTTCTCTTGCTGCCTAAAGGTCAAATGTCAAATGTATGCTATGTAAGGTAGTTAAACTGAGTATGCAGCGTTGTGGACAAATTCTTTAGGATTCATTTGAGACATATAAAACGTTTCCACGGTGTATAATTACTGAGTTTAAGTGCATAGTCGACGTTCAAAATCATGAATTTGGGTGGGTACGTTTTAAGAATCGTTTTTTTATTATTAAATAACGACGACGAAAAATAAAAAAAATTATACATTAAACTGATTAGATGTTTAGGAACATATTTCTGAAAAGAAATTTGTCAATAAATAAATGCTAGAATCAATTATTTCGTTTTCATCATTATATTGAATTTCTTATTTTCTATGAATTTATTCGCAGATTTCAACAACAAATTAGTTGTAGAATTTTTTTACATTTTTATCGACGTTATTTAATAATTAAAAAAAAAACAATTCTGAAAACGTATGCACCGAAAATTACGATTTTGAACGTCGACTTTTCTCTCAAACTCAGGATTTATAGATCTTAAACAAGTTTTATATGTCTCAAATGAATCCTAAAGAATTTGTCCACAACACTGCATACTCAGCTCAACTACTTTACATGGCCGGTCTGTCCCTTTAAGTGATGTGCACTGTTCACATAAACAATTTTGATTTTACCAAGCTGAGTTTCGTTTTCTAATACTCTTTTAAATTTCCTCCTCAGTGGTGTACACTGTACAATGTATATTGTACAATTACATGTGTAGACAACCAATATATCTTAACGTGCTAGAGAGAAAATATAGCAAACCCACAAAGGATGAGACTGTATTGTAAAGACGGTTCGAAACTAGCTTAATCCTAAGGTTAAGTATATTAATTTAATGGCTTGGATTATCAAATGTTGGAAAAAGGAAGGTTACAATGCAAGGAAAGTTATTTCAGAGGTGTACGCATCTTTTGTACTGCAGTGTACTGTCTCTGGGCGGTAATGTAAACACAAGACGGATGTCGAAGCCTGACATGAGATCCATCTTCCACATCATCAATGAAATATTCTGGTCATAGGAGCTATTGTCAAAATTATCAAAATTTAAAGCTTTTAACCTCATCGGATACTAAACTAACACTGATGCCTTGTTTACAAATTCCGCCCAGATAGAACTGGTTTCAATGTATACGCAGAGTACACATAACTGCAATTAACTTTCCTTGCATTATAACTCGGGGAAAAAGGGAGAAATAAGTTTACAATTGCAGGGAATCATGAAGGAAGCCAACAGTAAAAAATCCGTACAGTCGTCTCGGAAGTTATATTCTTTGTGGGTAACCATGTACATGGAGTTGGTTCTAGTGGTGAAGCGAAACTTNATCCAGCTACTGGTTGTGGTTTCAGATATGAGGCCTTCAATTTTGTTACACAATTTCTTGGCAATATATCCGGCAATGTAACTTACTGCCTCATTTGCAGATTTCTTCTGCAACTGACCCAACTGGTCTAGAGTTTGAACCTCAACTTGGTCCTCTAGTAGAATAATACCAGGCTGCAATATCTCATTCTGTTTATCTTCATCTAGAACCTAAACATACTAAAATTATTCATTTAAAACACATGTTAAATTTTTTTGAAATTTACATGAAAATAGTTTACCTGGGAAGAAATCAATGAAGAAACCAATTCTGTATCCTTTTCTTCACTTCCTTAGGGTGTCTCCATCTCTACTGAAGGATTAATGACACTGAGAGCATTTTTTGGGTTTGCTCCTACCAAGATGAGTTTGATTTTGTACATGACATCTACAGGTCCAGGATGTGAGGTTCCAAACGAACGTAGAAGACTGAAAAAGTATTCAAATATATAATAATGTATTCAAATATGTAATAGATGTAAGAGACAAATGTATTGAAATATATAATGAATGTTAGAGACAAATGTATTCAAATATATAATAATGTAATAGACAAATATATTCAAATATATAATGAATGTACGCGAAAAATGTATTCAAATATATAATAAATGTAATGGACAAATGTATTCAAATATATAATGAATGTAAGAGACAAATGTATTGAAATAAATGTAATAGACAAATGTATTTAAATATATAATGAATGTAAGAGACAAATGTATTGAAATAAATATAATAGACAAATGTATATAAATATATAATGAATGTAATAGACAAATGTATATAAATATATAATGAATGCAATAGACAAATGTATTTAAATACATAATAAATGTAATAGACAAATGTATTTAAACATATTATGAATGTAATAGACAAATTATTTAAATATATAATGAATGTAAGAGACAAATGTATTGAAATAAATGTAATAGACAAATGTATTCAAATATATAATTAATGTAAGAGACAAATTTATTCAAATATACAATAAATGGAAGAGGGAGAAGTAATGATCAAAAGGCATCATAATTATAATTAAGAAAAAGCCCCAAACCAAAGAAAATTAAACGGAGGAGAAAACTTGATTTTGCACAGAAAAATCAAAGATTGAGATGATGAGCATGAAAAATTAAAAGATTGGACGATTGATAATTGTTTTTAATCACTTACCCTCCAAATAAATGTTTTCACAGACAGTACTAAGGAGAAGTAAATTCTCCATTG